TTACCATCGCCCATGAGCACCCGCAACACCAGGGAAATTGCAAGTGCCTGGTCGGCTTTTCTTGAATATTTCAATATTGTATCGATTCAGAAATATCATTGCTGGAAAACGCAACACCAGGGCAATTGCAATGTGTTGACCAATAAGTTAGTGCCTATTCCCTGATATACACCATCAAAGTGGGCTAACACCGGCAGAGCTACAATAGTTATGCTAAAGCGACCTCGAGACTCCGGTAATGACTTTCGTAGGTACCCGTGTGGTTTTTTAGTGGGTGAAAATCCCACTTGGGGAATGAGGAATTTTTACCCACTAAAACGGTGTGCCTACGAATTCTTCGCCCACCCATCGAGGGGGACGATTGAAGATATTTCCATACAATAAAAAAAGTCATTAGAACCTATTGAATATCATCAGCTTTAGTTACACAATTGAGATCTTTTGAGATATTCTTTTACTATCCCTCATGTCGTCAAGTGTTCATGTTTTTGTTACTATCGGAGAAATGAAAAAAAAAATGTTTCCCACTAAAGTCAGCATTATGTTTAATTACCTTGGACATGTAGTCTTACGTATCCGGGATATAAGGGTCGGTTAAATTAAAGGGTAAGAGGTAAGAAAGGGATGTGTGAACCCACTATACGGGTTCACGAGAGTACGATGCGTGATAAATGCGGTTTTTAATATGACAGAACAGCTTAAGAGCAACTTATTTAAGTTCGTAATAATAACTAATATTTCGTTTCAGTTTTATCAATATAAAAAACTAGCTATTACCTGCAACTTTGCCTGCACAAATTTCTTTCTCAATTTCACCTTTCTCAATAATATTGAATTAATTATTCGAGTTAAAAGCAGACGCATTCAGTTGTAAATAACTAACGAATGGACAGACTAAGATTTCAATTCATTGTTAATGTGGGTGCTCATGGGAGACGGTAATCACTTCCTATCAGATAAGCCGGAACTTGTTTGTTCCCTATGCTATAAAAATATTAAATTTGCTTTATCCGATTCGATATTATTATTATTAAGTTATAAATAAAGATAAAATGATATTATTCCACACAGTATTATTTAAATGATAATGTATTTACGAAATTGACAATTAACACAGCGCCATCTAGTCCCAAGATAAACAAGGCTTGTATTATGAGTACTAGATGACTGATGGATATACTTAAATACATTTTTTATAAATAATAATAAAAAAATACACATAGCGAAAACCCAGACCTACACAAATAATTCTACTTATGAATACACAAGTTTGTAATCCTGCGGGAACTCGAACACGGGACCATTGCAAGTAAGGCGGTATGCCGTTACATCACCAAGGCCGTCAATGTATAATGAACAAAATTATAATTAACATGTTAATTACTGCGAATTCACCTGCCTTTATCATAAACATGGCTTAGAACAGCCATAAACATATTGTTACCGTTATTGTGTCATTAAGACGTAATTGGATGCTGAGATAGTAATATTCAACGCAGTTACTCCGTTCCTTGCTCCCTGGTGGCGAGAAATTAAATTCATACAGTTTAACACCCGATTAGTTGGGCCGATCTGTAGGGTTGAGTTCCATCCCGTCGAAGACGCATTAGCATTCTACCGCGTCTCCTATGGCGGTGGAACTCAACCCTACAGACAGTGGTTTTTAGAGGGCAAGAATCCCCTTCACCCCATCGTCACTCGTCTAACGGGGGGACAGTCTTTTGATGTTTTTTTCTATACTATAAAAAGCTTAGCTTAATGCTTAGCTAATACTTTTAACCGAATACTTCGTAAGTCAATGCACAGTTGTATGGATGGACGGGTGACAAATTGAAATATGGGTGACTGTACAAAAGTTCTAGAAATCAGGAGTGTTTTGTACTAGTTGAATGAAAATATAACTATGAGGTTACAGCCGAATATTATTCCAAACATACAAAAACACGACTCTATAAAGTTCTACAAAAAATAAAAATATATGAATTAATACAACGCCATCTAACTGTACTGGAATAAAACAATATTGACTTCTACATGTACATAGAAATGTTTCCTCTCGATCGATTCCCTGTACAATTCAAACGGGGATCGAAATTACGACGGCCTAAGCATAGGTTCGAATCCCTAGCGATGCCCTCAGACTAAAGTCATATCCCTCAGGCGGCAGTTGGGCTTCAGCTTTCCTTAAGTCCTTTCGCGTGTTTGAAATGCTATCTGCACTTGCCCTTTATTGTCCGGTGAAGCTGTAAAGATCAGCTGCTGTTGGTCACAGCCATAGAGTAGTCCGAAAAAAACCTTTTAAACTCAATTTCCGTGTTAGTGTATTTAAATTTTTATTTCACATTTACATCATGACACAATATAATATGATTTAGAAAAATATTTCATCGCTGTCAGATATACTTTGTACATAAATTCTTTCCAGGATATAGTAAAATATATTCATATTTTTCCAATTTCCGCTTCCGTGACAACCTGTTTGATGACTAAAAATGCGTTTTGAAGACTATATTTTTAAATTTTCTGAATCTTAATATCTAGGATATAAAGTTGAAACTACTTTGCATTATTAGTTAGTTTAGGTATAGATGAGTAACTCGTGAATGTTTTTGATCTCGAAAATTCGCATTCGAAATTTAAAACTAAAACGTTCTATATACTTGGATATATTCTCAAAAAGACCTCCAGACCTCACGCTTTGAGCATTATTGATCTTTAAATGCAGGATATAAAGTTGAAATTAGTTCGTATATTAGCAAACTTTGGTATAGATTAGCAGTTCAGGAGTAAACATACGTATTCGAAAATTTAAAATGATAAATTTTCTATTCAAGACGCGATCCACTCGACAGATTCGTGGGAGTTTTATCAAAAACCCTTAGTCGTTAACAGCTTTAAAGAACTTTAATTTGTAGACTATAAAGTTCAAATTAGTTCGGATTATTAGGTAACTTTGGTATGGATTAGTAGTTCGGGAGTCGAATAACTTTGCCGGCAACCGCGGGAGAGTTTCGAGAGTATAGCTGAGTTGCGGAGCTATGTACGAGTAGTTGCAGAGTTAGTCTCGTCAGTCGGTGCACTTTAACTAAACTGCTTGGAAATCGCTGCATTTGTTTTTAATAGTTTTTTTTCTCTAGTGATTTTAAACAAATTTTCAACGGCTTCGAGTGTTTTGTTTTTGATTTTAGTTGTTCAATGCGATATCGAGAGTTTGCTTATAATTTTGTTTATACGTTTACTCATTTTTATGAAAATGAATCTTATAATTTAGCACATAAAGATAATTTCCATTAGATACGTGCTGATATGTAAAAACTTTATGATTTTGTTAGAGTGTATTATGAAAGTATTCTAGCTCAGTGATTAATTACTATGACTTAGTAAGTCGGCTAAAATAAGAACCAAGTTGTGAGATCAAATCTGGACGACACCGAAAAAAAAACTTTATAACTCTGGTGAAGGATACACGCAAACAAAAAAAATAATTTGTGATTCAAAAATACACATATATATTAATGTGTATTTTTGCATCCAGGCGCAAAAACATGCAACAGCAATCTCTTTCACCAATATGAATTGCAATACTGTTTCTTTGATTTTTTTTATCTGCATTTATGTTTATTATTCAGATGTTAAATTTTATTAATATACGTTTATTTTACATTTATAGGCGGTGAATGCCACTTTCCGTTAAGCGGATCATCAATTATTTTGTTCCATTCCAGTTACATAAAATAAAATAAGAAATTTAAAAAAAGTTTTACTAACATTGTAACTATTGTTCTTATTTTAAAAATATAACGACCTTCTATATTTAACATACCTACTTGTCCTTTATACTGCCTGCATATTTTTTAACACCCTGTATATTAACGATTATGAGTATAAGGGTACGGATGTGATGGCACAGCATCCGTGCTAAAGGTTTACATCCGCACCCTCACATTCACCAGACTGCAGTATTCGGGCAGGTAACTGCTCTCAATTTGTTCTCATTTTATATCTTTTAAATAAATGAACATCCTTTATAAATGTGACGTCATGATAATGGAACTGTTTTGAACGTAATAATAGTAATAATGATTTTAATTCTTCTATTTTTACATTATTCGTCGTTTCCTGGTAAATTAAATCATTACATAGTATAAAACAATGTCGCTGACGCTGTCTGTCCGTCTCTAAAAATCTTATACATATAAAATAATAATAATAATATAATAATCTTATATATAATCTTTATATATAATACATGTACACCCGTGGGAAGCCGGGGCGAGTGGCTAGTTAATTATAAACCTGTATTTTAGGTACGAGTAAGAAATAAAAAATACGATGAATAAATGACTAGTTATTCTGAAGTATATTATCTTATCTGTGCTATTAAATGACTGCAGTCAGTTAAACTGGACAGAATAAATAATAATAATAAATCTCAGGACAATTCACACAGCGCCTGGATGATTGTCGAGCAGTTTGGTATACCGCTGGTGGCGGGTTCGATATCTCGCGCGGTACAAATATTTGTATTCATAAGTATGATTGTTTGTATCGGTCTGTGTGTTTTTAATGTACATTGTATTATGTATTTACAAAAAAATCTCTAGTACCTGTAAAGCTCTGCTCACCTCTGGACTAGATGATGTTGTGTGAATTGTCCAAGGATATTATTATTACTTACCACTAGCTGTTCCCGCGACTTCACGTGGAATATAACTTTATTTTTCTAAAATAAAAGTAGCCTAAGTTACACCTTATTACATTAGCTATCTGCCAAAAAAAGTCCCGTCAAAATCGGTCCAGCCATTTCAGAGATTAATTAAAAATTGTAAAAAAATGTTATTTTGGTGTATGTACTGTATTTACATTCATATGTATGTAGTAAAAAACGGTTATTTCAATATTACAAACAGACACACCAATTTTATTTATTTGTATGATCGTATAGATAAGAAAGAATTTTCAATATATTAATTTATATAATAATGTTTTTTTGTTTTTAGATCTATCGCAAAGTGAAAGGACTCTACATACCTCAAAGTAAGTTCCGTAGTTATTATTTATTATGTTTTAATATAAATTATAGTAGATTACTTACGAAAAGGTGATGTGACTCATGGTGAACTGTGTCTACACAAAATATCAAATATGATGTGCAGAGAAGCTCTCAATAAATCTGAGTGATCTATCAACGCACAGCCCAAACCACTGGACGGATCGGGCTGAAATTTGGCATGCAGATAGATGTTATAACGTAGACATCCGCTAAGAAAGGATTTTGATTAATTCTACCCTCAAGGGAATAAAATAGGGGATGAAAGTTTGTATGAAACTTTGTCAATTTTAAACCGATCGGGCTGAGACTTTGCATGCATAAAGCTACTATGACGTAGGCATTCTCTAAGAAAGGAAACAATAGTAAAGCCGCAAAAACTATACCTAATGAATAATAATACTTCTGAACGCGAGCGAAGCCGCGGCCAAAAGTTTATATATATATAAGTCCCTTCATTGGGGAATGAATGAAATCCGATTTTATACATTTTTAATGAACATTGCTGCTTGCTCACGTGTCGATGCATAAAATTCTCGCTTACTGTTATGAGAAAATATGAAATGTTTGTAACTAATATATAAAAGATATACATTAAAGTGATACTGTTCCCTCAATGTCGACCTTTGTCATCTTAGTTTTATATCGTACTAGTGACTTGCTCTGGTTTTGCTCGGTATCTTATAATTATACTACTTTTGTGAATATGTACATACATATATATAGCGTGATGAGCGGTGCTTTTTACTGGTTGATGGTGTGATGTCGTCATCAACGCGATGTCTATTGTCAACCAGTGGTTGTTGAGGATGCGCTTCTGGTATTGAGCATTATACTCCTCACAGCAGAATAAATAAAATTTCTATATAATCTGTCCATTTTATACATATCAAACTTCCTCTTAAATCACTCTATATATTTCTAAAAATTGCATAAAAGTCCATTGCATTCTTTGAAAGATCTAAATAATAGACTAGAAGCATTGGACTAGGTAAAGATGACCAAAATATTAATTACTAGCTACTAACCCCAGCGTCGCTCGGGTGTACATGTACCTTCTTCTAAAATCACTATATCTATTAAAAAAACCGCTTCAAAATCTGTTGCGTTGCTTAAAGATTTAAGCATACATAGTGACGGACAGACAGCGACAGCGACTTTATTTTATACTATGTAATGATGATTGTATTCATCAATACTTCGACTGTTGACAATGCCTCTAATCATCCTATCTAAAATTACAATTGTAAAGATACTATAGGCTGCTTTTTAAAGTTAGGAAAACTACGTTGGAGTTATGAAAAATTGTAGTCACCACTTTGTAACGAATAAAATGGGATATTATTTCAACGTAGCCGTGTTCAGGCGGCCGGCGGACGATCTCTATAATCCTTACCGGTATCCATTATTCTGTTATCCCTGACCCCATAAACCTACAAAATCTACCAAGATTATAAGCGCACTTAAGATTTTGGAGTCTTTAATATATTCTTCTGAGGCTATATTTTGGGTGGATTGTTAGTAATGAGAGCAAACGAGAGCTCGTAGAATAAGTTAATTACGTTATTACAATAGATTATAAATGTTTGTGTAGTCAGGTTAGCCATCGGTCGGAAAAAGTCGGAAACCGACCTGATTGGGAACAGCTACATTTATTACGGCCCCGGTGGTATAATGGATAAGCAAACTACCAATGGTCGCGGGTTTGATTCCTTGCACGGCACAAACATTTGTATTTATGAGTCGATTTTTTGTATCGGTCAGGGTGTATTCTATGTATAATATATATGTATTTACAAAAAAAAATCTATGTATTTGTATCAGTTATCTAGTACCCATAACACAAGCTTTAACTACCTTAACTTAGAACTTAATTTGTGCTATGGTTAAATAAATGTATTCTATTCAATACAGATCACCTGTCCTTCTATTTTAGATAGCAAATCACATTAATACTTCAAACGGACACGATTCATGTGTCGCTCACACACCCAACACATAAATACATCAAGTCACAAATTCAAATTGAACATTATGCGGGGGCATGGCCGCCCGCGGTAATTTCATTAATCTCAGTTTAATTTATGCATAGTTAACCGTTGTTAAACTACGCCGTGTTTGCGTACGAGACGCCGAATAATTAGATCGTTGGATTTATTGTGTTTGTATTCACGAAAAACTTATGTGTACGTTTGAATTTCTAATCCGAACCAATATTCTATTTCAGGCGTCTAATGGCCTATATTATATATTAACATACATATGAAATAATATTATTATATTAATACTATCTGACCCCGCAAACATTGTTTTGCCATATAAACTAAAATTACTATTAAAAAATTAGAGTTAACTGTAGAAGGGTGAAAATTGGGTTGTATGTTCCATTACATTGTCATAAATAAAAAAAAACTATTCAATCTGCATAGGGTGGATTTCACCGTGTATCCCGTAAACAGTAAAAGGATTTGTAGATACGATTTGGTCTGAGACCACCGCTAGCAGTTCATTGCTTGGCTCAGGGCGTCGTAATTTCGATCTCCGTTTGAATAGGATGAGGTTATAGATCAGAGGAATGGATGTTACTATGTGCTGATAAAATATAATTTCCATTTTTTCTATATCGACATGGATCCCTAAAATACCTTTAATTAACAACATAGCTACTGGTGTATAAATAGGAATCGCTACAAATGTTATATTTATTTCAGAACAAGCTCCCACAGGAAAACGGAACGGCGAGAAAGTGCCTCTCACGACGCAACGTCCAGATTTCCCGGTGAGTTATGTGATGGTAACATGAAAGATTTTGTATTACATGAAGCTCATGTTATATTACAATGTTGATGGACGTTAATTAAGCATTTGCGCTTGAAATGACATAAAACCTGTACACGTGTACAATATATAATATTACAAGAGTAATAATATCACAAAGTAGTTGCTAGTTCATTTTTACTTTCGCATGGTAAAGTTATTTTTACTACAATGTCACCTATTTTTTTACGACTGTAATATCAAAGACGGTAATAGTCTACCTGTTGGAAAGTGGCAATCGTTACGTATGATTATATAATATAAAGAAATTATTACATATAGATTATATATAATATAATCTATATGTAATAATTTCAGGACAATTCACACAGCGCCATCTAGTCCCAAGCTAAGCAGAGCTTGTGTTGTAATTAGTAGACAACTGATACAAATACACAAGTAAATATTTTTTGTAAAGGCATTAATATTAGGCATAAAAAAATATTCAGATATAAAAATCATACTCATGAATATAAATGTTTGTATCGTGCAAGGAATCGAAGCCGCGACCATCGGAAGTAAGGACTTGTGGTTAACCGTTGACTGCTAGACCGTTATTACCTATATTATAATATCTACTTAACTTGGGACTAGATGGCGTTATGTGAATTGAGATATTATAATTGAGACTTCAATGTAAATAAGTGTTCTTTTTCAAAGTTGGTATAGTTCATTTTTGTAGTTTAAATATAATTGATTTATTGTTTCATATTTCTCTACTCCAGATATCAAAACATACAGACATAAAAGAGATATAGGATCTGGAAACGTCGTAATTACACAACACTTCAACGATAAATTTATTACTCCAGGAGAAGATGTAAGTAATTAATTATAATATGTATTTATATACCAAATATACCAATGATATGGGACATCAGCTTTATCATCCTATCGCATAAAAAAAAAAAACTTTAGCTGGCAGGTGTTCGCAAAGTTCTAGAGATACCTAGATAGCTATCATTTCAAAAAATTGTGATATTATGACTTAGATAATTTTAAAGATAGCGGCAAATCAGTTTGTTTTCATCTACACTCTATAACAACCTACCAGCCTCACTTCATTAAATTAGGCATGAATACAGGTCTTTGGCATGGGGAAGGACATAAACTTTTCATTTCAGGCGGTCGACCTCCTTTCTGTTTGTTGGCTTGTTTGTTCATGAACTACAAGTTAGGGACTGACCTACTAGTAAGATAAATAGGTGAAAACTTTTAATTGATCCAATCAATTAAATACCGTTGTCGGAAATAGATCGCCCGGGAATTATTAATAGGATCATTTGTATCAATTAGTTGTTTACCAAAATAATTGTACTCTTTAAGGGAGTAATAACTTAATTTTATTTGCTAATCAAATATAGTCCTTATGTATAATGTGTATAATGTACATTTTATAGTACTAATATTATAACCGGGAAAGTTTGTGAGTATGGATCCATCCATACTCATCCATACACACACACACTCATCCATATACATACACACACATCCATACAAACTCTCTTGTTTGTTACTCTTTCACGCAAAACAGATTTTGAGGAAGCTTTACGTAATATACCTTAAAAATCAGAATAACATATAATTTAAAGAGATATTATGTAAATTAGGCGAAATATATTGATAAGTGTAATGGAAACGAGAATGGGAATGCAGGTTTTGTTATACATAGTTTCAGAACTAACGCACCGATTTGAGACAGTTTTCAGTGTCTGAAATGTATATTACTCCAGAGTAGTATTACGTTAATATAGGTATATAAAAGTGAAAAAGTTATGAGCACTACGTTGGACTTTGTGTAAAGTCATCGACATGGGTACGTTATTATTACTATTTCAAGCAGCTTACGATAATTTTAAAGGAGTGTTTCAGTTAAAAACTGAGGTAATGCAGTAAAATTAAAGAATATAGAGACTTAAGATCTTATTTTTTATACTACGATGGTAGCAAACAAGCATACGGCGCAACTGATGGTAAATAATTACCTACGACGCCTAAAACAATAGGGTTGTCAGGTCGTCGCCAATTCTTAAGAAAACTTAATATAAAATACCCTTCTTATAAAACGTCATACTGTAATTTCTCGAGAAAATCTCGGTAGGTAGTTCATTCCACAATCTATGTGTACGCGGGAGGAAACTCTTCTGAATCGGCACTATCCGAGACCAGTTAGGTTTCAGAGTGTGGTACTGAAATTTAGTCTTGCGAAATAGTAACGTATGCATTATTTAGGGTATTACATGATGGTATAATTTCCATGATATTTTTTATGTACCTACTACATAATGAAATATCTAAAAAGAATAATTAAATTTTTTTCAATATTTTTCAGATTAGTCTACAATGTACTGCAACAGCAGATAGACCTCCAAGATTCATATGGGAGAGAGATGGTGTTGGTATATCTTTAAATACTGATTCTAGGTAAGACAATATTCAAAACATTAGAATGTTTTATTCGCTGACGATATTAGGGATTTTATGAGGAACATAAGTTTCTTAAATTAGTAGCAATGGTAAGATTAATCGACCTGACATAGCATTGTTAATAAAGGTACCTATAGAGCCCATTTCAAACAATCTTCTACTCTAAGAACAGTTGGATTAGATTCAATACTACTCCAGCAAATTTTAAATTAATTTATACCAATTTTAATTGGAACAATTTTTTGTAGATATACGGTGGGCCAGGTTATGTCGCCATCAGGTATGGAGGTTGTCTCGCATTTAAACATATCAAGAACAAGGGTAAATGATGGAGGGCTTTACTCTTGTATAGCTATAGAAGGGGATAGTAGTTCTACCCATGAAGCGAGGGTTGATATTTATGGTGAGTTCCATATATTATAAGAAATTATGTAACCAAATAAATTCTTCGGTTCGGTATTAATAATTAATTGTTAAAGTATAACAAACAAACACACTAATAAATTGAAATTGTTAGGTAATTTAGTTCAGTTTTTATTTTTGTCTTCCAGAACTTGGTTGTCTTGCGGTTTAGCACTTTGTTTTACTTCCGATGAATGCGGTTTCGATTCCTCGCGCGGTACTATAATTTGTATTCATGAGTATAATTGTTTGTATTGGTCTGGATGATTTCTGTGTATGTTATGTATGTATTTGCTGTAATTGAGTAAAGTTAAAAGATATTTAAGTACTTATATCAGTACTCTAGTATCCATAATACAACTCTAGTATACATAATGACGCTGTGTGAATTACATGACATTATTGTTATTGTTATTACAAATTGTTTATTGTATTAAACCCTGTTCTTATTATAACTCTAGAGATAAATTTAAAAAGTATAATCTTATCTATATTTAATAGTAAAAGTTACAGATGTTTATATAGATAGATAGATGAATGATTTATTTGTAGCTTCAGCACACACATAATAAGTATATATGAAGAGAATAAAAAAAAATAAATGAACAAGAATTTATCTTTCAAAGTAATAGGACATATTTGTTTCAGGTCCACCTTATATAAGAAATTTGCCGCCAATTAAAGTGCAGAGTGGAGAACCGCTTCGTCTCAGATGCCCGTACTATGGATACCCAATTAGGTATAAGCTTTTATTTATTATTACATATTCATATCTTAAGGGTTAAAATATTATATTATTATTTTAACCCTTTCAGGCCTGAATTATGTTTACATCCCATAGATTTGGTAAATTGCATGTGTCTAAAGAATAATAAGGAGACTATAAAAACAATAAAAGAATTTTATCTTTAAACTTTTCAAAACAAATTAGTAGTTTTAGTAAATTGTGTAGTTAATAAGAGAACAAATGAATGCAATCGTTTTCAATCGGAAATTATAAAATCGTTTTAGATTATATCTTATATGCACGCCAGTTTTGAAAGGGTTAATAGTGTTTCTAGAATATTTAGAGCAACGTAGCCTAGTAGGATACGTTGTAGAGTATTATTATTACCACCTACAGATCCTCAAATATAGAGAGTTAAAATATAACAGACAAAAACAAAAAATGTGACAGTTTTTTAAGGGAATAAAATGGCAACATTCCTGTCGGTCCACCTGATGTTAAGTGACAACCGTCGCCTATATACATGATTCGCAGTACGACATCACTTATGTGATACCACTCAAGCATTGCCATTCGAGAGGATTAAAATATCCTGCGCCTTATGCTGTAATTTCCCTGTCTTATCTCAATTATCTCGAATCCTGTAATTTCACTGTCTTATCTCAACTGAAATACAGATTACAAAGTAAGCTGCCTGTCGGATGAAATTTCCCATCCAAAACTCATCTGAAATTACTGTCCTGTGTGAAGTCATATTAGGGTGCAACCAAATTTGTGTAATTAGCATTTGCTGTCATCTGCATTTGCAGTAATATAATTGTACTCGGATAAACTTCTAATTTAATCAGAGTTAAGGTTGTCTAAATATTCACCAATTATACCTTACTAGCTGCCCCGTGCAACTTCGTCTGCACACTATTGCAACTTTTTATATTGCAACACTAAAAAAAATTTATTATTTATGTAATATGGCAACATTCTTTCCTACTTCTTCCTTCCTCCGCTACATCGGAGACAATAGAGTGCTGTGAACAAATTTTGGACTTTATTTAAAATATCACCATCTCACCACGCCAGCTTCCTTCAAAGGACCCACAAAATTCCGCTGCTGCTCACACACTTACTTACATTTATCATTATATTTCGGCTAAATTACATAATATCTTATTAATTTATATCATATGTGTTTCTCTAATGTATAATCTATATTACTGCAAAGTTTTATTAAAATCCGTTTGGTAGTTTTTGCGTGAATGGGTAACAAACATCCATCCATACTCACAAACTTTCGCGTTTATAAAAATAAGAAGATTTATTTAGCCAAAACAAACTTAACTTTTGGATAATAGTACTAAAAGTAAATAACATTGTTACAGTAAACTTGAATGGGAGCACAGAGGCAAGAAAATTATCAGCACCTCGTTTCCACAGCATACAAGATATAAGAGAACGTATTACACAAACACAAGAAAACGCAGAAAAAGACAAATCTTTGAGCAGAGTGAAGACGGTGTTTTGAATATACCTAAAGTAGTTAAGGAAGAAAACGGTGATATTTATACTTGTATAGTCTACAGTCCTTCAGGAGAATTAGCGAGACGGTAATTTTTACAAATATAAAAGATTTAGTGTTTCAAGCGAATCGCCAGCTTGTAAATGTATTATTTTTGTTTAAGTAGAGTACGATTTTATAGCTAAGTCGATAGTATAACTAAATTGTATCGAACTCGAGTTATATAATACATGCAATATTAGAAATAGAAGTAATCTTTATTCAAATAAACGTAAGCGCTTTTAGTGTAATTTTTTTATTATACCACTCATTTGGAACGTAAATTCATCATAAGAAGAATCAGCAAGAATCTCACGTAATTACGTAACCAGATTTCTTTGTATTCCTTGATAAATATTGTATAAAGAAGTACTAAAATATCTTGAATTGTAGAATTATTGTTCTTTGTATATCTATTTTATATATCTCCCTTTGGTGGTGTGATAGACTTGTCATTGCGGGAGAAAATCAGAAATATTATTATAACACAGACCAAAAATTATACTTGTATAAATAAAAAGAAAATATAAACAACGAAATATCGTTTATTCTTCGTGCTGCCAGCAACAAAACGCATAAGCTTTAATAAAATTGTACTTAATGATTGAACGTTGATTATATATTTTATATGACTTTTTACATCAAAAAGCATTAAAAGAAACTTTTGGGTTATTATATTTGTCGCCCTAAATTATTTCTTTTCCTTATTCGTCATTAATTTAAGAAAATATATAGTTGAAGAGGATGTTATCTTCAAAACATAAAGTTAGTTTTTCAAATAGTCTACAATTGAAATTCCTTAAATGAATACTGATTTCAGAGCATTTGGTATCCAAGTAGTGGAGGCACCGGAGTTGGATGAACTACGGGTTGGTTCAGGACTGAAGGAGGGACAAATTGTTCAAATAACTTGTAATATTATCAGTGGCGACCCACCCATTTATTTTTCGTGGCTCAAAGATGGTATGAAAATTCCCGCTAGTCTGAAGGTACATATTTTCTTTGAATATATTTATAATAGAATTTCTTTGATATTCCACGACCTCGGTGGTCTAGTATTTTAATATATGATCTTCATTTTTAATGCTTGTAGGTTTAATTCCCACACAATATGGTATCCATGTAAATTTATTTCCATTGCTTTGAATATTTTTATGTATATACATATATGTAATGACGGATTCAGTGGGTTAGCGGTTTACTACACCGCTTTACTTCCGATGGTTGCGGGTTCGATTTCTTACACCGTACAAATTCACAAGTATTCATTATTCAAGTATTCACAAGTATGATTATTTTTATTGGTTTGGGTGTTTTCTATGTATATTACGATTGTATTTATAAAAAAATGTAATTAGGTGTTCTATCAGTTCACTATTACCCATAAGACCAGTTCAGCTTAGCTTAGGACTATGTGAATTGTCCTGGGTTATTACTATTTTTATATATTTAAAAATCAATGCATAATAATTAAGTATCAGTCGTTTAGTAACCATAATATATGTAGGTTCTGCTTAATTTGGGACTAGAATACTTCATGTAAGGTTTGTTAAATTGTACATTGTGCACTATTAATAAAGTTCATTATTTAGTCGAACTTTCTAATATAATACATCAAAAAGGAAGAATATTAAGAGTTTCTGAAATTTTAATTAATGCGACGTTAATTAAAATGTTGTTTGTTTGTTTGCTCGGAAATTTAATGAGAGGATTGGTTGAGGAACCAATATTAATAATAACTTTCTTTAAAGAATGTATCATTATTTTAACAAATCTTGAGTTCTACATTTTATGTGTCTGTACATGGGTATTAAGCATAGGTAGACTTTATACGAAGTTGTTTGCGTGGGTATTATTATCCCAACTAAACTCTCTCAAATGATATAATATTATACTCATCAGCAATAAGAGAACTAAGACCTCATTGGGTAATGATACAAGTACTTAAATACGTTTTTTTTATTAAAGAACAATACAAACAATCCATGAATACAAATTTTTGCACCGTGCCAGAAATCGAGCCTGTGACCATCGGAAGTTAGGAAGTTTACTAAAGCGCTAGACCACCAATTTTAATTAAGTGAGACTGCAAAGGAACAGAAGTAATAGGTCCTATATCTGACCCTTGTGTGACAACAATTACAGATTACAGAAAGAAGCGCGGAACTTTTCAGTGTACTAATTATAAAGCGTGTGTCTTTGGAACACTGTGGCAAATATACTTGTATTGCAACCAATCATGTTGGAAAGGTCAACAAAACCACAGACCTATATATAAATGGTGAGTTCGCAATTGCCTTGCTTAATTAGGTATTGTTGGATGGCTTATGTTATTAGTTATTCGATTGAACATCTATCCCTAGTTTTATATTTCTGCGTTCAAATATAGGTTCAATATCAAATAATTAATTAAATAGGGTTTGTTTCCTATTTTACGTTCGAGTGTTGTCATGATTGCGTGGAATTTAACATTTTCATTAAAATTAACAAAATTTCATAAAATGGAAGTATCCTGAGTTACTACTTATATGTGACATTATCTACGAGTGAAAGTCCCTTCAAAATAGCTTCCGCCGAGTCAGAGATTAACAAGAAAAATCAGGCAGATAGATAAACATTTTTTAATTTAAATGCCATATATACTTTCATGATGATGTTTATGATGAGGGTGATGATATACTTTCATACGGATTTAGTGAAAAGCTATTAGTCTGAAATTACAATGAAATTACAAATAGGCACTTCAATTTAATTTATTTGTATGTATGGCACCGACGTCATCCCCTCTGTCATATTGGATTCAAATATATTCAGCGAATGGGCATGTCAAGTGTTAACTGCGACGTTGATATTTGTTACTGATTCTGATTACCCCATATTTTGATTGTTTACTGTAGTGATGATAAATTATTGTTATTTTAATTTAGATTTTATATTATCACTTAAATTTAATTCTGTAACAAATGTATCTGAATTTTAAGGTCTATGAGGTTCACTTATCTGTTCGATTTCAAATTCTTTGTGAGAGGAATTTCAATTTCGGTTGGAATTGTGGAATAAAAGGGGATTAACGTTTAAAATAACTTGTCAAATTTCATTTAGACAAATCTAATTCTAAATATGATACTCCGAGTCTATATTTATATTTAATTTAAATATATTACGTTAACCTATATATGGTATAGTTAACGCAATATAGTTACTAACAATAGTTGAATATTTCACAAAGATCAGTATCATTAATTGTTTTAGTAATGTTAGAATTTTTAACTGCCTAGTGAAAATTTTCGATAACATTTTTTTTATTTCATGAATTCTCTTCTTGTTTACAAATTATTCTTTGTTAACATACTGTAATTAAGTATTATATCATGTCTCTAGCCTTTCATTCATCTACTCGATGTAACATATAAAAATGAACTTCTATATAAAAGAAGTGGTGATGTTACGCCTTTTGCACTTAATTATTTTTCTTGTTTTTTTTTTCTTTTAAGAAGACTTTTCTTCTTCTTTTAAGAAGACAATTCGTATATTGTATTATTTTATATGTGCGCTAAATACCTACTAACTCAACCGCAAAAATTCGTCTGCTTTAAGTATTCCTCGTTTTTACAACATTTATCATTGTAGCTCCCCTTCTATTAGTTTGTAATGTCATATAGCTTATAGTCTTCCTTGATAAATGAGCTATACAATTTTTTTAAGCGCAGATCAGATGAGATGACCGAAAATTATTCAGAACATCCAAACTTAGAAACTTTAGCTCTTTACAATGTTACAATAGATAAATTTACATGTATGATTTAATAACTCCAGTTGCTCCTAAATGGATGGAGGAGCCGTCAAACACATCATTGTTATTGGGGCAGCGCGGCGTAGTTTTCTGCAATGCTAATGGGTACCCCATACCACAGATACACTGGATGAAGCGAGATGGTGAGACCATTTTTATATACATTATAGAAAAATTGAAACAGGGTAATATCTGCACATTATGTGTAATTTTAGATCAACAGTTTTCATAATATTCGGCTGTATTATTCACGCTTTGCGCTCAAACTACTACATCACCAATGTCTAGATGTCGAACTTCATACATAGGTTCAATTTTATCATCTTTATATATATTATAGTAAAATTATATATCTATATATTATATATCTGTATATTATGTTTATTGTATATCAACAGTTTTCAGAATATTTGTTAATTTGGCTGTATGATTAAGCACTCTTTGGACTCAAAGACATCACCTAGAAGTTTCACTTCATACATCCATTATATTGCAGGAAATGTTTTTTCAGTGATAATTGTCCAAAATGATATATTATATAGATATATAAATATCATAAAAGCAGTAATTCGTCGAAATTGTACATTCGTAATTTATGTACTTACATGTATAAATTACAATTTAAACAACAATATAATTGTTTAATATCTTATATAATCATTCTACATTTTGTATTCAAATGAAATCAAGGATTGCATGCCTCGATTAGTGGCACATCTTAAAAAATACTCTTGCGAGCAATTTATCCTGTTTTCACTTTTTAGGCATTAGTGCAATATTTGAACAATACAATTTCTATAAACTACCTTCTGCTAAAAGAATCCTGAACTCTGATTAGAATAAAAATTAATCTAATATTTTTTGACTTTGTGAGATTTCGAAACATTAAAGAACATAAATCACATCCTAATGTTTCAGCAACTCTTGGAATTTGGCGTCCTGTCCTTGATCTGGCTGGTGGTGGAGTCATGAGCTATCCTAACGGCACTCTCATCATCGAAGTGGTGTCATTGTCTGATGAAGGAGTATACGCTTGCAATGTCGAAAATGGTGTTGGTGATGCGTTGAATAAAAATTTGTGGATCAGCGTTAATAGTAAGTTCTCTTGAACTTAAATTGAATTATGTATAAATTAACATTAATTGTTATTTATACGTATAATTAGTACACGGGATCCAACCACGTTTTATTTTTATTGAGTTCTTGATTTTTCGCCAGTGTTTCAACCACCATGATCACGGATAAATTCACTTTATCCGAGATCACGGTGCAGCGTCTAGATGTAAATAAAATGTTTTATGGGCAGATATAATCGTCTTTCTTCATACGTCTTCGTTTGTTGCTACTATTGAGTTAATCCCGAGATTTTTATTAATTATACATAGGTATAACTAATAACCGCGTCAAATTTAAAATGGTATATAATTATCATTTAGTTCCAAACTTAGGCCATTCCTCAGAGAGGGAATTGTTAAAAATAGGGACTAATTAACCCATTTCTAGTAATGTCAGAATGACCACAACACAGTGCCCCTAGAAATCATTATAACATTACAAGCAATAGAGTCACCATAACATTAAACCTCTATTACTTTAGACTTTCACCTACTATACAGGGTTATGGTCGGTATATTTAGAAATAATTTTTAACAAAGTGTTTTTGTTAATGTCAATATTTCTAACTACAAAATTATTTCTAGAGCCAGTGCATTTCGAGTCCGTAGGATCGAACCTGACGACAAAAATCGGGCTGCCAGTCACGATAACTTGTAGACCATTAGGAGACAACCCAATAAGGGTCAAATGGAGTTTGGATGGAAAAGCAATAGACTTTACATCATCAAGGTAACTTCAAATTATGTTATGGTTACATAATTAGATACTATAATTATATTTTGTATATATTATTTCTTATATATATAGACTTTCTTTCTTTAATATTTGTATTTGTAATCAGATTAACAAATACACCTACAAAGTTTTTTTTTATATAATTAAAACGATAAAGAAGCAGACGACCCGTTCGACGTCAACCGAACTGTGGCTTATACACACAAATAGCACCATGGACTTAAACTTTAGTCGCTATTCAGGAGAATGATGTCTTACCTCCGTATCACATCTGTAAATTCACTGCCTTATTTCCTCATTCAAGTGAAACAGAAAGAAATCTGCTTGGCCGCAGAAATAGGTTCGACAGAGTCATTGCGAAACTATTACTGTCATTAATCTGTTATCACTACCTTTCAAATTAAGAATTAAGCGTGAAAGAAAATGACCAAAGAGTTTTAAAATAGAGAATAGTAGTTATCAGTGTACTAAAGTTAGTAAAATAGTAGTTAATTATACATTAGGGGCATTTGTTACGTTTTCGTGAATGTGATTCGTTTATTGTGCTGCCATCTGTATAAATTCTTTTATATTAGTGAATCTATGATACAGGCATTTGGCCTAAGGCTCAACATGCATCCTCCTAGGAGGAGTAGATGACGCTATGTCTGTCCTATGGTAATATGGACATTGCGTAAACAAACCAGATTATGCGCCATCTATCCATCGAGTACTGAAATTTAAGATACTATGAAAATGGACGGATGGAAAGAATTTTCCTACTAAAGAGACTGTAAAAAATTTGTCATATATCACATAGATGGCTCTGATTCATATTCTAGATATTATATATTATTTTACTAGCTACTCGCCCCGGCTTCGCCTGGGTGTACATGTATTATACATATAAACCTTCCTCTACAATCACTCTATCTATTTAAAAAACCGCTTTAAAATCCGTTGCGTAGTTTTAAAGATTTAAGAATACACAGGATATTCCGATTTTATCCCTTAAATATAATTATTGTAAAAGTGCCTTTCGTTCTGTAATTATTAACTCTTTATATATTTCTGGTATATAAAGAAACAAACAGTGGTAGTGTTATTATGTAATTGGAAGGATTTAATTACTCACCATACCATAGTACCATCTGATGGTAAGTGATAACCATCGTCTATGTATGATACATGAAGAGCGCCGCAAACATCTATGATGTGTTAAAGTTATGTGTGAATATCAAATCAAATAAAAAATAATTTATTCATGTAAGACATTCTAGCTGCAAAATACTTGTCGTACATACAAGTATTTTGTATCAATACAAACTATAAATAATCTGTAATTTCACAATCATTTTCTTATACTTTATCGGAAACACTTTACAAGGCATGCCAATTTGTAAAGTGTTATTTTTTTTAAACTTTACAGTTATACAATACATTAGCTTAACATATAGGCTATGATTAAAAAAATATATTTTGTATCTTGGCGGTATATAATGATAAATGTCAAGTAAGTGTGATGCAGATAAAATTGCGTGGGTCAGCTAGTAAAAAAATATTCTTTTTCCAGATTAACAATTTCTGAAACTATCACACACAACGGTGTAAAGAGCGTGATAAATATAAACTACGTGGAAGGTCGAGATGGTGGTACATACGAGTGTAGAGCAAGCAATCCCTATGGAGTTGCAGCTTACAATGTTCATCTTACTATTCTTGGTAAGTTGAGATTGTATTTTTAATCCCCGACGCAAAAAGAGTTTGAGTTTGAGGTCACCTTCCAGAAATGATGTTTCTGAACCGACATTATAATGAAACTATCAACAAAATAGCTTATTCCTTCTTAAAAGGCTGGCAACGCACTTGAAATTCCCCTTGGTGTTGCGGGTGCTCATGGGCGGCGGTAATCACTTACCATCAGTTGAGACGTATGCTCGTTTGTAACCTGTGTTATATAGGAAAAAAGACACGACGCTCTCACTACTCCATGACACTTTCTTTAAGTCACGACGCTCTATCTAGTCCATGACGCTCTCATGAGACCATGACGCTCTCACTACGCTACGCTATGACACTCTCTTTAAGCTACGACTCTGACTTGGCACTTGTCACTATTACCAAAGTCAGGTCACCATGAAATCTTATTCATTTTAATCATTAATTTATATTCTTTTTCACAGAGCCTCCAACTCCACCGTTAGATCTGCAAGTGGACTCTGTAACAAGCAATTCAGCTAAACTGTCATGGCGAGACACCATTAGCACTCACGTGCAGTACTATACTGTACAGTACACAACTACAGATTTCGTTATGTGGGACACTGCGAAAAATATCAACATTACCAGGTAATGTTATTATCGTTTAAGATATTCGTTTTTCTAAAGATTTGCACAAATTACTTACATGAGATAATTACAAAATTTACACAAGATTAATATTACAGAAATTATTAATTATACAATACAAATAAAAAAAATTGAAGCAACTGTTTGTAATTTTTAATTAACAGCTTTTCATTATAAATTAATATTATAAATATAAATATAAATATAAATTAATAATATTATAATATAAATTAAAATTGCATTACATACTAATATTGTATCTTTTTCTGTCTATTTGTTCTTACTAATCTCTGAAACGACTGTACCGTTCTTAGCGAGACTTTCACTCGTAGTTAGCTACTATTATAATACTGCTTATAACTGTAGCTATCTGCGAGTGAAACAAATTCAGACTAAATAAAAATTTAGGCGCACTTCTTTTTTAGAAAAATTATTTCTTTTCGTAATAAAAGATTAGATAATTTCCACTCAGCCATAGTTGTAGATAACAGTTGGTTAATTATATTTTTCCAGACAAGACAATGATGCACGTCAGAGTATTGAACTTAGGGACCTGCAACCGGCGACCAACTATAGAGTTCGCGTGTCATCGGGAAATCAAGTAGACTTGAGTCCATACACCCAGCCTATACATTTTACAACTCAACAGGAAGGTAGATATATCTTACTAATATTATAAACGCGAAAGTTTGTGAGTATGTATGGATGTTTGCTACTCTTTCACACAAAAACAATTGAACGGATTTTAGTGAAACTTTACAGTAATATAGCTTATACATCAGAATAACACGTAGGCTATAATTTAAAAAGATATTATGTAAATTGCGCGAAATATAATGATAAATGTAAAAATAAGTGTGATACAGACGAAGTTTTGCGGGTTAGCTAGTCTTATATGAAGTAATATTATAAAGAGGAAAAAATTTTGTATGTTTGGAGTGCTAATGAATAATATCTTGTCCGACTAGAACTGCAGTAAGTTGAATACTTATATCTAAAGCTACATTAACCAGCTTCTGCCAGATTTGTCGGCAAAGGGGCCATAAACCCTATACCCGGGTCACAAGTCCCGAGAACTACTTGGAATTACTCTTTCTGCCAAACGATGGACGAAGTTCGTTCATACAGAAGTACTGGGCCGATTTAAAAAAAGTTTATTCTATAGTATGCTACATAGCTTATTAGTAATTCGAACATTCAATACGGGTCGTAGTCTGGACTATATACAGGAATATTTTCATTATTTTACAGCACCGTCATCAACCCCTTTAGGAGTACAAGTGCAGTCTACAGAAAATCCCGGGGAACTCATTATAGCGTGGCTTCCACCTCCACGGGAAAGCCATAATGGGCCTCTCCAGGGTTACCATATTAAGGCTATTCCCAGGATTAGCGGAGAATCGGGTAAATATATCTATACCTCTATACATATAAATAAAATTATAGTGTCTGTTTGTAATATTGAAATAACCGTTTATTACTACATGCATATAAATATGGTACATACAATAAAATAACTTTTTTTACAATTTTTGTCTGTCTGTCTGTCTGTTTGTTCCGGCTAATCTCTGAAATGGCTGGACTAATTTTGACGGGACTTTTTTTGACAGATAGCTGATGTAATAGGGAGTAACTTAGGCTACTTTTATTTTAAAAATATTCTTTTATTTAAAAAGAATAAAGCTGAATTCCACGCGAACGAAGTCGCGGGTACAGCTAGTCTTTTGTATAAATCACAAAGACACTATACTATATTCGTTACTATACTTGTTCTTGCTCGTTCTTCGTGTGATGAGAAAGATTTCCGAATAATAGTTAAGAAAAAAATTACTATTCAAAAATGCTTAAATGTAAGGTTACTTGAATAAAGAATTTTCTAGTCTGTTCTATCGGTATTGGGCATTAAATTTGAAGGGAGACTAACGAATGGACACAATGGAGACAATGGATTGTGTTCTGAGGAAGTTTATGATGGTGGGCATCATATAATTCCTCAGAACTATGATGGTGGGCAGCTACCGTCTTCCAACACAATCTGTTCACAAATTAAATTCCTGAATCTGAAATCTCCATCGAATTTCCCACATAATTCATTCCCACACTCTAGAACCTTAATTATGACCACTGGGACAATACGGTTTCAAGTATATCAAATTTAGAGTATTTCAAAGTATAATGGACTGAACTGCCTGGTTTTTAGAGATATATCTTACTAATATTATAAACGCGAAAGTTTGTGAGTATGTATGGATGTTTGCTACTCTTTCACACAAAAACTTTATACACTACAGCATGGAGTTTTAAAGAATGTTACGTTTTCATAAGAGTCGGTATCGCGGAGATGATAACACCTTATCATCTGTAGATTAGGGATAGTTTATTATCCTATGAGTGTAGTTAGTAAATAATATGTCTGGACAAATCGAAGCACCATCTAGATCCAAGTTAAGCGGAGCCCAAGCTCTGTTATCTAGTAATCAGTTATCTAGTACCCAAATACTATATAACTGATAATATACACTTAGATACATTTTTTTTAATAACATATATAGAACATGATATAAAAAAACATATTCATGAGTACAAATATTTGTACCATGCGAGGAATCGAACCCGCGACCTTCCGGAAGTAATTCGGTATTCTAAACTATTATACTACCAATGTAATATTGTATTATAATTAATAAATAAGTAATTGTTTTGAATAAAGAAAATATCTTCTGATCAATATCTATTTTTGTTTCAGGACCAAACGACACACAAACTAAAATGGTGAAAGTGATATCGAGAAAAGGAAAACAGGAGACAACTCTTGGTGGACTACTTAAGAACACGAGGTAAATATAGTATAAAAGTTATTCTTATATGTTAATCATTAATATGATCTATCTGCATATGAAAATAAAATAATAATCTCAGGACAATTCACCCAGCGCCATCTAGACCCAAGTTAAGCTAGCTAAAGCTTGTGTTATGGGTACTAGATAACTGATACAAATACATAGAAAACATCCAGAACTATACAAACAATCATACTCATGAATACAAACCGTATTCATGAGTATGAGTTCAAATTTGTACCTTGCGAGGAATCGAACCCACGACCATCGAAAGTAAGGCGGTGTGCTAAACCGCTAGACCACCGAGGTCGTCAATAATAGACATTAGTTAAAATATAAATACACTCTTATAAGCTATACGTGTAAAGTGACTGGCAAAATGCTTTTAACTTGTTTAGTACAGCGTGAGAACCGGTTATGTTTATTATTCTGTTATTTCACTGCCTTATCTGAAACATTTACACTTTACCAGAAACATAGCTTACAAAGCAAGCTACTCAAATAGAACTCAGACAGACTGAGATACCCTCTTAAACCCTCTTTAAACTGAAAATCATCATAATCAGCCTACTGTAGTCTACTGGTGAACATAGGCCTCTCCCAAGGCACGCCACTGGGCACGATCTTCAGCCCTTCTCATCCAGATACTACCCGCAACCCTACGCATGTAGTCACTCCACCTAGCTGCGGAGCGTCCTACTCTACGTTTGCCAATTCGCAGTCTCCACTCTAGAACACGCCTACTCCAGCGAGCATCGGTTCTGCGACAGATATGACCAGCCCACTGCCACTTCAACTTACAGTTACGAAGAGCTATATCGGTAACCTTAGTACTCTGGCAAATTACTTCGTTTCGGACTTTGTCCCTCAGAAAAACTTCGAGTATAGCTCTTTTCATAGCTTGTTGAGCGACTTTGAGTTAGGGAACCAGTCCTATCGTCATTGTCCTCGTTAAACTTTAAATTCAATTATTCCCCAAATAAGTATAATGCAAAAAATATTCTTTCTATGTAACTTTGTTCTTATAAAGTTATAAATATACTACTAATTTTGATTTACAGATACGCGGTCTCAGTGAGTGCCTTCAATTCAGCGGGGAATGGACCTTTTTCCTTACCTGTTTATCAGACCACTAGAGAAGGGGGTATGTATATGTTTTCTCGAAGTAGATGGTATTTTGCCGACGTCCATTTCATTACTTAGTGGATTTATATTATAGTATGTGTAAAATCATAAATATTTAGTGCGGAAATGACCATCGCTACTGGAAGAGTTACGACAGTCTCTATTGATAATCAAATTCCAGATTTACAAACTAACAGAGTACCCTCTTCATCACTACGTATGTCTTGGCTGGCTGCCAATTATTACTTAATGAATTTATATTATTTTGTTTAATTCCACTATCTTTAGCACATGAGTCCACAAATATTTAGTGCGGAAACCTGACCATCGCAACTGAAAGCGTTACGCTTTTCTATTGGTGATCAAATGCCAGATTTATAAACTAACAGAGTACCCTTTACAGCACCAGAACAATCGCCATCAGGAGTGGAATGCCGTGGAGTATCCTCTTCATCATTGCGTATATCTTGGCAACCAATCACATCACATGGAGCCTCTTTACTTGGTTACACTGTCTACTACAGCACAGAAGGTTGGTCTTGTTAATTTATAAATACAAGGTTATTTGTGCAGAGTACATGAAGCTGAAACCTATAAATACTCATAAAACCAATTTTGTGATGATTAAATTTAACTAAATTGAATATATAATTAAAAATTAACTATACTAGAACAAGTCTAATATAGTTTTTCAGCAGTATAGTAGTCCTCCAGACTACTTTCCCTAAGAAATAGCAGCTGCAAACTACTGTGTATTTTTGTTTTTTAACGGTATCAAAGAGGAAATTATAAGTTTGACGTATCTATGTACCTGGGTATTTGTCTATGGCATCGTAAGTCTTAAACGAATGAACCGATTATGATGTATTTTTTATTTGAAAGCTGACGTAATCGCAAACCTACAATGACCTGTACTCAAGTATAGGTAATATATTAATATTACCTGTACTTACTTAATTAAAAATATCGACTTACCTTGTGTACTTTCAGAAACAGAAGATATTTTCTTTTTTTTCAGATGGTACTTGGCAGAATGTGACGTCACCACATACAGAATTATATATACAAGCCTTATCGAAATACACGAATTACTCTGTGAAAGTAGCTGGATTTTCTAATTATGGACTTGGACCGTTTTGTTACCCCATTATTTGTACTACGTTACAGGATGGTAAGACATTTGGTATTTATCAATTACTAGATGTGCCCGCGACTTCGTCTGCGTAAATTATCGATACTTCTATATAACCTTTAATTCCCCTTCCAACCCCTTACAACCCATTTTTCGGATTAAAAAGTAGCCTATCTCCTTTCTCAGGTTCTAGACTATATGTGTACCAAATTTCATTTAAATCGGTTCGGTAGTTTTGGCGTAAAAGCGAGACAGACAGACAGACAGAGAGAGTTACTTTCGCATTTATAATATTAGTAAGGAGTAAGGATTAACTACCCGCCTCAGCTTCGCACGGGTGTACACACATCTTCGCTGTATGTTCGTCCCTATGTATTGTTAAATCTTTAAAACTATGCAACAGATTTTGAATTTTTTTTAATAGATAGAGTGATTCTATAGGAAGGTTTATATATATATAATACATGTACACCCGGGTGAAGCTGGGACGAATATGTACTTATACATATTAAGCTTTCTCTTGAATCGGTCTATATATAGCTAAAATGCATTAAAATTCGTTGCGTAGTTTAAAAAATCTAAGCGAAGAGACAGTGGAAGTAGTTTCTTTTTATACCAATTTCGTCACTCTCCTCAATATTTTTATTCATCAACTGCATTCTATTCTTCCAGTACCAGGTCCTCCATCGCCAATAAAGGTATTAGTTTCATCCCCTACGTCTCTACTAATCAGTTGGAAGAGACCGGAACAACCTAATGGAGAAATCACGCACTATACTGTATACGTCAAACCAGTTTCTAGGTAATATTGATATTATTTTTAACAATTTCATATTCTTAAACATGTAGTTCTAAACAACAATATTTAAAAAAAGAAACGCGCAAGATTCTGTTACTTAATCTTCTTGTGAAGAGTTTGCGTTCCGATTAAGTGGTACAATAGAAATAATGACTATTCAAAAGTGCTTATATTAAATAAAAATATTTTTATTCATATATAGACATTATAGACATTATTATACTTCATATCTACGGCAGTAGTCTGTTTAAATAGTAGTTCAGAGAAGAACTGATTAGAAACTCGGACCTCATTATTTTTTAATGCGATTGTAGATCATCATACTAATACATAACTATTATAGTATTGTAAACACAGTATCTTGTATGTTTTTTTTATCGATGAACATGGAACAATGTGAAATGTGTGTGCGCGCGGTTTTCTTTATTATTTTGTGGTAAGCTTCTCTAAAATATATTTATATGTCTTATAAATTCCAATCGATTTACGCACAAAAAGGTTATAAGTTTAAATTCTTTTTTTGTGAAGTACAGGTTACAATTCTCTTAGAATAAATAATAATTTTCACAAGAAAAACCTTTTATAAGGGTTACGTCTCATTTTTAGCACTAGTCCTCCACAAAGCTACCGAGTGGAACCGTCTCAAGAAACATCCCGTCAGCTGACCTTTCCGCTACCAGGGTTGTCGACTGCCAGGCAATATGAAGTGTTTGTGAGAGCTCATACCACCGCCGGTGAAGGAATGCCAAGCAATAGGGTACACGCTTCACTATCTTCTAAAGGTTCGTTATTATCCTATTGTCTTTAGTTATGAAACATAGAATAAACATATTTGTGACTTGTAAGGTGTGTTTACACGTGCAGGTTCTACAGTCACCTAACAATAACCCAAACAACTCAATAAAAAAAAATGGTGTGTTTCAGGTTCATCGTAGGCAGTAGGAATTAGGCAGAAATTAAAGGATAAGAGGAATGACATGTTAGTCCTCTGGAATAGCAACTTTTCTTCTTCTGCATTAGTCCACTGCTGGGCATATGCCTTTTATTTTTCCACTTTCTCCAAGCTGCGGTACATCTCGTCCAGGTCGGCCCTGCCAACTTTTTGATATCATCTGACCATCTGGCAGTTAGTCTGCTTACGCTTCTACTTCCCATCCTAGGGATCTAAATATGTCCAACTGTTATCTCTCTTCGATATACATGGCCAGCCCAGCGGCTCTTTCGCTGCGCGATTCTTTTGGTGATGTCAGTAACTCGAGTGCGTCTTCTAATCCCAGGGTTTCGCAGTCTGTCTGACTGTCTCACAAGCGTATGTTAGCATAGCAAAGCATGAATGGTATCGCGAGTGTCAGATTCTAATGTGATACCCATAGTGCTGTTCATGTTATATATAAGAGATGGTTATCGCTTACCGTCAGGTGGGACTGCAGCTTGACTGCTATTGTAATTACATAATAGAAATTATTATATGTTGCAGTTGTTCCCGGAGTGGCTTCATTAGGTGGACCCATATCAGTGGGAGTAGGAAATTCATTGCTGCTGGCATGCCAATGTGTGGGGACACCACCACCGAGAACCGTGTGGTACCATAAACACAACATCATCACCCACCATCCTAGATTCACCAGAAATCATGATGATAGTCTTCTTATTAACAGTGAGTATAATTATCTCCGTTCACTCATATATTTCTACCATTTGTTATATTGCTACCATTAAGGCCACTGGTCCTCATTTGATGATAGAACTTTCCGTTTCTGCACTCGGTCTGGTGATAAAATATGATGTCATATTTTATCACCAAACTATATTCAAATTTCCGCCCCTCCGATCGATCCCCCGTCCAATTTAAACGAGGATCAAAGTTACGACGGCCTGAGCCGAGGTTCGTATACCTAGCGGTGGCCTCAGACTAAAGACCTATGCGAGAGGCGGGATTTGGCCTCCAGCCACTCCATAAGTCCTTTCTTTGGTTTGGAGTGCCCTCTGCACCTGCGTCCTAACGTCCGATTAACCTATAAAGACCAGCTGCCGTCAACAGCATTAGTCCGAAAAAAAAACCAAAATATTTTCTTTTTCTTTCTTTCTAATTAATAAATATTTTTTTAGATATAGACCAATCGCTTAGCGGTAACTATACCTGCTTGGCTAAGAACTTGTACGGTTCAGATTCAGTGACATATGAAGTATCAGTGCTGCCCACCCCTGAGCCACCTATCATGAGGGTGACACCTCATAAAAATGCTTTGAATTTGCAATGGGAACTTCCACGGAGGATTGGAAAATCACAAAAAATAAGTAAGTTAGCGAGAAGAGGAGTTATTTTTTAAATTTTGGAATACGTTATAGGAATCATTTACGAAGGTAGAACTTGCTATAGTTTCTGCACGGGTATCTCAGTTTCAGTTATTTCAGCAGCCAAGCAGTTTGCTTTCTAAGTCGTGTATCGGTTTTAGGGTGATAAGGCAGTGAAGTTACATAAGAGGCATGATATCTTAGTTCTCCAAAACGCAATGCCTCATAATCACATGCGAGATATAATAACGTGATATCCATGATGAAGTGGACTGATTTACCGCTACGATTACTTTAAAAAATTTCTACCATATTACGATGAAAGTTTATTAATAGATAATTGTGTGTTGTAATTTCATACGTAGATGTTATTAAATAACGATAATAAACCAGCATGTCTAATACGTACATTTTGATATATAAACTTAGGTTAGGCTTAGGCTTATAAACTTAGGTTAACTTAGGCTTATGAAATTTAGGTCCCCTTAGACAATGTTACACTTTGTCGATTGAGGATGACGGGCTTCTTCAATGTCTAATCTAGATGCCATACATAGTGTTTTAGCCGTTCCTTCAGATAGTGTGGCTAAGGCAATTTCATCACTGGTAAAGTTTTATGTAGTTATTATAGGGTACAATGGGACTGGCAGATTTTAATTTGTAAGAAAATCTCTAAATATGAAAGAATCATTTCACCATCGCACTGCTCGCCATCGTCAGAGAACCTAAATGGTCTCGGATAGTGCTGTTCAGTCAGTCAGTTCCGTTGAGCTTCCTCCCGTGTACACTTAGATTGTGGATTAAACTACATACCTGCCGAGGTTTTCTCACGAAAATACAGCTTTGGGAAAACCCCAATTGAAAAATCAAGAAGGGTAAAATAAGGTTTTTAAGGGTCGGCAACGCGCACGTGACACCCCTAACGTCACAGGCGTCCATAAGCTACGATAACCATTTACTATCAGAGGGGCCGTATGCTTGTTAATATAGTATAAAAGAATGTATAACCTAATTTATAGATGACTACAAATGTGACTGTGACAAAATACTAATAAATTCACATGTTAATTTTACAAAATCATAATATTCCAGGCTACAACTTAACATGGAAGGAAGGCAACGGTTCTTGGCAAGATGCTTGGTCAAACAAGGTTACGTCACTCCAAAGCTTGCAGGAGTATACTCTACAAGGCCTGAAATGTGGTACCAAGTATTCACTGAGGATGACAGCAGCTAACAGTGTTGGATCCTCACAGCCGACTTACGTTGACGCTACAACCTTGGGCGGAGGTGAGGTTATTCATCGTGTAATGAATACGTGAAACAAAGACTTTGTACCCCTTTTTAAGGAAATTGCGCGGACGGAAGAGAATGTAATTCGCACACTTATTCTTAATAATCATTACATAGTATAAAAGTCGCTGTCGCTGTCTATCCTATGTATACTTAAATCTTTAAAACTACGCAACGGATTTTGAAGTTTTTTTTTCATAGATAGAGTGATTTAAGAGGAAGGTTTATATATACAATACATGTACAACCGTGCGAAGCCGGGGCGAGTAGCTAGTATTAGATATAAATGTGAAAGTAGGGATGTTTGCTACGCTTTCACACAAAAACTACTGAACTGATCATCGTGAAATTTTGAACACATATTCCTGGAGGTATTAGAATGAATATAGGATACTTTATATTTAAAAAAAAATATATTTTTGATTCAATGCGAGCGAAACCGGTAATAATTTATACAGAGAGGCAACGAAGTACGCTAATATATATTTTTAATTATGCCTTAAAAATACATTACATACACTACTATGTATTTGACATACATACGCATACAAGTTTGGTCTTTGACAATACAATCTTACTAATTATTCAAACTTATCTGGTCTAATTTCGACCGTAGGGCAACCACTAGTTATAATAAATCAATAAAAATAAATAGATTGACTGAGTGAAAGATGAGTGAGAAATAAATAGATAGACTGAGAAAACGAGAAAGTCTGTGAACATGATTATGTCAAAAACATAAACATATAATGACCTAGATCACCCAGGTCACTATATGTTCGGAAGTACATATAACATATTGATGTTGTATGTACTTCCGATAGTCCTGAGGAATCACGTACGTAGATACATATAAATAATTCAATTCTTCATTAGAAGTTAGAATTTTATATTTTTTTAAATACGAATGGGAACTATCTATTGGTTTTATCTTAAATATAGACCAAATAAATTTTTATTGGGCTTTAATTGCATTTTCTTTATCCGTTGAGTTACCCCAAAATATGATACCATATCTTAGAATGGACCCAACATGTCCATGATATGATACAAGAGCCGTAAATCCATTTACAACCTTCGAGAGCGTAAGAAAAATTATTTAACTGGGCTTCCTAAAATATGGTCGAGCGCAGTGATGGCTTGCTCATCCGTCATACTTGTGAACAGGTGCTGTTTGTAGGGACTGGTCTGCTCTAATCACTATATCTGATTTCCTCTTATTAATTGTTTAACCAGTTGGTTATATATTCAATATTTTTTCTATTTGAGAGTCTTGCTCGTTCATCTTGTGATGAGACACTTTAAAAATGAACGTAATAATAGATTAAAAAAAATGTAATGACTATTCAAAAGTGCTTCAATGTAAGTTTTTTTGAATAAGTGATTATCTATTCTATTCTTTTAAATTTTACAGACACTTAGAATGTGTATCTTCCAATTTAAGCCGCAATCTATATTTAGTCCCAAACATTTTGTTGAATTAGTTTCTTGAATTTTCTTTCGATTATATTAAGAGAGATTGATTGTCTACATCTATTTTTAAAGCTCATTAATTTATTCTTGTCAAGTTTAAGGCATAAGAATATTTAATTTTATCCAGTCAATTATTAAATCTAATGCAATATTTATCTCATTTTCTTAACCATATTTATCAACTAAAAGATTTATTCACAACTCGTTTTCAGTGCCCATTTCGCCAACCAGTACAGAATGGTTTTGGAGTAATGCAAGCCATGTGTACATACAACTGAGTGGCTGGGACGACAATGGCTGTGAAATAACTAAATTTGAGGTAGATTATAGAGAATATGGTAGCAAGGTGTGGCGGAAAGCAGACAACAGAATCGTAAGTATTCAATTACATGTTATGTATATGCATATGTGTATGTATATGTATGTATGTGTATGTATATGTATGTATGTGTATGTGTATGTGTATGTGTATGTGTATGTGTATGTGTATGTGTATGTGTACATATACACATACACATACAGTCTCAGTGTAGTCTCACCTATTTCAGCCTCCAAGTAGCTTGCTTTATCTCCTGTATTTTGGTTGTAGTGCAGTATAGGCAGTGCAATACCTACCTGATGATAAACGGTTACCGTAGCCTATGGACGCCTGAAACACATGCGCATTGCATAAAATATTAAACATAAAATTTACATTTATTTATATTTTTAAGTTTACATTAATAAAATATTTTTAGCCTCAATTGGAACAACAGTGGAATCACTATGTTGGTTCCTCAATACTAAATCAACCAAATTCATTCGTGATAGCGGACCTGACGGCAGCCCAATGGTATCAGATTAGGATCACCGCTGAGAATTCCGCTGGAATATCCATTTCTATATATAATTATGCCACTACTACATTACAAGGAGGTACTAATTTTTATACTTATTTTTAAATATCTAAATATATATAACTCAAAGGTGACTGACATAGTGATTTATCAACGCATAGCCCAAAACACTGGACGGATCGGGCTGAAATTTGGCATGCAGGTAGATGTTATGATGATCCGCTAAGAAATGATTTTGATTAATTCTACCCCCAAGGGGATATAATAGGGGATGAAAGTTTGTATGAAAATTGTTCAATTTTAAACCGATCGAGCTGAGATTTTGCATGCATAAAGCTACTATGACGTACGCATCCCTTAAGAAAGGATTTTGATAAATTCCACCCCTAAGGGGGTAAATTAACGCGAGCGAAGCCGTGGGCAAAAGCTAGTTAAACATATATGTAGTTAAACGGGGTTAAATACGAACATTATGACAAATAAAGGTATATACCTCTCTCTCTCTAACATGTATATTTAACTATTAATTATCTATTAAGTAACAAAATTGTTTTTTTTTCAGAATCGATTGGCCCCCCATCTGAGTACTTCGACATAAACATGTTAGTAATTATTTGCAGTTCCATTCTACTGATGATTTGCTCACTTACATGCGTTTATATACTAGTCAAGAGACATAGGTGAGTATTATTTAGCTATTACTACAATAACAAATGATACCATTATGGTAATAAATTACCATAAAGTTTAGTTTTTAAGTTAAGTTCCGTTCACAATAGTAGTTTATTTGAAGAAAGTTTATTTATATTTCTATAATGATAAAAACATTATCACTGAATGAAAGTGAATGGAAGTTGACAGAATGTGCTGAATGAAAATAGAGAAGAATAGAATGATTTTAAAGTATAAATTTAACGATATTCACGTTGAGTTCCTTGCCAATATCCATTTGAATTAATCATATTCTTTTAACTTTATTTCTCATTTATTTCAATAACTATGTTTCTCTTCTATTACTTTCAACTTCTTCTCATATCCTTCTCTTCAATTCTGTCCTCTGTCTCATAACTAGAATGTACTTAATTTACTATCCATAGTGATGTCATCACTATGGTTGGTATCACAGCACTATGTAAAAGTAAATATAGATGTCGCTAGTAGTAGTAGTATGCATTGATTGTTGATCATAATGAGTCTAAATCAAATAATCTCGTTTAATTAATAAGTTAATAATATTTCAGGACAATTTAGACACGCCATCTAGTCTCAAGTTAAGCAAAGCTTGTGTTATGGATACTAGACAACTGATATAATGTGTTTGCGATCGCAAATAGCCATTTAATATATTTAAAAATAAAATTTTAAGAATTCAAATTTGGAACGTCAGGCACAGAACATCGATGTTAGTTTATATATAATTTTGCACTCCTTCTCGAACATTCCGTGGCGTCATTATTAAAATCTGTTTACAATATATTCTAAATATTTTATTTATTACAATTAAAACATTGATTGTAATATTCCTCCAGCAAACATAATGAATACATTTTTTATGAAAATACATATATAATATATACCGAGATCGGAGAGATCGGATAGATCGGAACAAACAATCATATTCATGATTACAAATGTTTGTAACATGCGAGAAATCGAAACCGCGACCATTGTATATAAGATTAACCACTAGACTACCGAGGCCGTCTATAGAACCATAGTAACAGTCATTGATTCGACTTTTTGTTCACAGTCACCATCAACTTACAGAGTATCGTAACTCGTTAACAGCAGATTGCAAGTCGGAACATGTTAATACGACCACCACACCTCAGCCTCCGGCAGATGTCAACAACCGTGTTTATAGCACGCCGGTGCATCTTAATGCAGACAGCAAGCATGGTGAGCATAAAATGTGGTGCAAAGGTGGAATTAATACATTAGCATTACCTTAGTGTACCTTTGGGAAGATTTTTCCGAATACTGTAATGGTGTTGGCCGCTAGACTTGACAGCTGCATCGGACGATAAGGAGCGAGTGCAGATGGCGCTCCAATCCCACAGAAGGACTTATGGAACGGCTGAAGGACAGCACCCGCCAGCCGCCGCCCGACATTAGTCTGAGGGTACCGTAGTCTCAGGCCATTATATCAATTCCCGTTTGAATTAGACGGAGAATCGATCGGAAGGGCTTTCAGAAGTCTAGAGATACACGATTGAGGCGTAGCATTAAATATACATATTATTTACATAAAATAATAGTATATATTATATAGTGAAGTTCGTTATGTTGATTAAAACACACAAAATTTTAGCCCGATCTGAAGGCGATGGCGTAATACAGCTGAGTGTTAAACGCGCACATAGAACATTATTTAATACACTTTATCTATACATATAAATAAAATTGGAGTGTCCGTTTGTAATATTGAAATAACCGTTTTTTACTGCATACATATGAATATAAATACGGAACATACACAAAAAAAACACTTTTTAAAATTTTTGTCTGTCTGTCTGTTTGTTCCGGCTAATCTCTGAAACGGCTGAACCGATTTTAACGGGACTTTTTTTGGCAGGTAGCTGATGTAATAGGGAGTCACTTAGGCCACTTCTATTTTAGAAATATTATTTTATTGTAGAAAAATGAAGTATAATTCCACGCGGACGACGTCGCGGGTACAGCTAGTTTTAAATAAACTCAATCATAAAACTTGTTTGCCGTTTTACTATTTAAAATGAGCGCTCTGCCTACTGGCAGGTGCCGGCCGGTGATCATTTCGAAATTTGATTTAAAAAATACCAAATAGTGCGGTGATGGAATATAACTGCACTATTTGCGTTTATAACGCACACGTGTTTTATGAAATTGTTCATATATCTAAAATCGGTGAAATTATAAATTATATTAATTGAAAAGAATTATAATTATAATAACAAAGAACATATTTATTTATTTATTTATAAAATTACATGCTCTCAGTGAGTATTACAGTACAATACCAATGCACTCACCAAGGAATAAAACGTATGCAATACATACATTAATATTAATACTAGTGTTAATAATAAGGTCATAAAAGAAAAGAAAAAAATAAAAAATAATAAAAAATAAAATTATATATTTATATCTATCCCATTTTTATATACCTACAGATATTTTTCTATCATATATTTTTCAGAGCTCTACGAAATTAGTCCTTATGCTCAATTCGCAATAGGCTTTCGTACTTTTGGACACGTTGACAATCAAGAGGTTCCTAGCAGAATACATATGCCCGGAAACAGCAAATCTAGATACGATAGCGGTGAGTCGTATTTTTCAAACATTACTTTAAAAAAATTTTATTTTTTCTTATTTGTACACTTTATTACTCCAGATACAGAACGATCTTAATTATTATAAATATGTATATATAATCACAAGTATAAAAAGCGGTCTTATCGCTAAGCAATATCCTACACGCAATCTTTAGAGGGTAAAGATATAGTGAAAAGTGTATATAGGTGGTGCACATGGTATCACAACTAATATATAAATAATACATGCATATAATATAGTTATATATATAAATATTTACTACTACACTTTGTTTTTTTAACTTTTACTACTACTTTACATTAATAATTGAGTACTATTAGATATAGAGTGATATTATATAGTCTATAGTCCTCATCGATCCAACATCATAAGAATTTTTCAATTTAAATTAGTGATTCCTGAGATTAGAGCATATATGTAAACAGATAACCGACTCTTTTACTTTCACCTTTATTATATTAGCATAGATTTACTTACTACAAATTTCATTTTAGAAACAAGTTTCCAAATGAGATCGGAGTCAGAAGAAAGCGACTGCGTTTCGAGAACTACAACATTGAAAAGTGTGCCCAGAAGTATGTATTTTTATTATTAAAATAATATCAACATTAATATAGTTTATATATAACACTAGCTTTTGCCCGCGGCATCGCTCGCGTTAGTTTGTCCTCTTAGGGGTGGAATTTATCAAAATCCTTTCTTAGTGGATGCTTACGTCATAGTAGCTTTATGCATTCAAAGTTTCAGCCCGATCCGTCCAGTGGTTTGGGCTGTGCGTTGATAGATCACTATGTCAGTCACCTTTACACCTACAATATCACATATATATATATATATATATATATATATATATATATATATATAGACATAAATTCGATTCGTAAATTAGATTCGATTTGTGATATAAACTAGATTCTTAGCACGAGTAAACATGAGTATGATTTTTTGTATTGGAGTGTTTTATTTTTATATATTTAAAAAATCTATCAAAGTATTTATATACACTAGCTGTGCCCCCGCGACTTCGTCGACGTGTTTTAGTGCCATTGACCAAATAATATTAATATTTGATAAACTAATCCAAAGAAAAAAAATCATCGTTATAGCTTCAAAAATGACGATTTTCCATACAAATTTTCTTAAGGGTAAAATTTTGTAAACTTTGAGTGTCATATTTATTTATATTTAATCAACAGCCTAAAATATAAGTTTCAAGCTCGTAACTTTTAAAATGACGATATTTTCTTATACAATGTCTCATCTTCCTTTTCAATGCCTTACAACCTTTCTTTCGCATTAAAAAATAGCCTACGTCCTTTCTCAGGATCTAGACTATCTGTGTATAATTTTCATTTAAATCGGTATAGTAGTTTTGACGTAAAAGTGAGACAGACAGATTTTATTAGTAAGGATTTATTATATTACTTATCATTACTTTCAGAAGCCTGCAGAGTCCCTCACCACAGGTAGCTGAGAAGTGAAACCCGATCTAGTTTTAATTAATACATCTACTGATTTAGTTATATAATTTAGATATCAATACAGAATTTATACAAGTAATTTATACAATAACCAAGTAATTATATAATAAATTATCTTACAAATATGCAATATTTAATTTCATAGCATTTATCCTCAATTTAAAGTATTGTATTTTAATTATTATTATTGTAAGGTATTTATTTAAATGATTACATGTAGTCAGAATTATATCACTAACTTAAATTATTTAAATTTTGTATAAAATTGACTAAAACTAATTAGTATTGTTGCTCATTATTCAATAGTAAAACTTTTTTACAGCCTAGCAATTAAATTAACATTAATCTTAGGCTTGGTGTTCATTATTTTATTATCAAATGTTTAAGACAGTTTCTAGACGCATTGCTTTGTTTCATATTGATTTGCTAGGTAATTTAGAAATGTTAGTTATGATGCTACTTTAGCTCTTTATCTGTTTTTTTTTAATCACAGATTTTCAACAAACTCACTTATGGTTAGTCATTGTGATACTTATATATTTACTCTACAACTATAATTTTGTTATACCTGTGTAGTTTTAATATCATATTATTAAGTTACTTTTTATTTAACTATAAGGGTGTATAAGTCTAAATTAGTGAAGTTTCAGAAACATTGAGTTTTAATAGAACAATAGTAGATTTCTTGTAAAATAACATTGGCTTTATGACTGTATATTGTTAGTATAGTTCTCTTTACATTTTTTATAATAAAATTCTATTTAAATGATAATTATCGATTGTGAATTATATAATAATATTAAATGTAGTGAAAATTAAAAATACAGGGTGTAAATAAATTGTTTTATTAATTCTTATTCCATTTTAATGGGTAATTTAAAGAAGATAAAATGGATTTATTCAGTAAGAAATAAATTACCATCAAATACTAAAATCGTTTATTTACATCCTGTGTATTATAACTTCTAAGTTATCTTGAAGAAGACTGATTGTTTACCATTTTTTTTGAAGCTAAATTATGTAAATTAATTTACGTATAGAAATTAAATTTCGACGAAATAAATATAAATGTTAGTTGTATAAAAACATTCGTTTTATTTATACATACCGTTAGTATAATTACTATGTACTTTAAAATCGATCATTGAAGTTAAGCAAAGTAGATGATTAGCTCTTAAATATATATAAAGTAGTAATAAATAAGAATTACATACTATACATTACCTTTAACCAATTACTATTACCTATATTTACCATAATACTAATTAATACGTGAAAAAAGTTTAAAACAGTGTATATATTGTATTAAAAATATAGAATAATAAATCTATTTATTGCCAATAATAGTACAATGATACAGTTATTTTATTTGGGAGTTTAATAATCAGATAAAATTTTGTATAAACCCATAAAAATTTTGACTACTTTGAAACATATGTAAACCAGCATATAAGATGACGGATTCTGTTTTTTTTTAATGTAAATAGAATGGGAAATAAGCTACAACATGATTGTAAGTTGTATTAACACAATGGACAGATCATATGACGCCAGTACTATCCCTAATGCGTTGTCATTCCAGAGGTTTAAGATGATTAAGAGGAATATGACGATTAAGATATAGAATAGAATAGAAAATCATTTATTCAAATCAACTTACATTGAAGCACTTTTGAATAGTCATCACATTGTTTTTTTAATCTACCGCTCATTCGTTACGCTGTTTCATAACAAGAACGAGCAAGAAACTTGTGTGTTGCTCTTTTAAACAAATTTATTCTTACTTTACAATTTAAGTGTGTGAATACAAGCTACCGATTAGCACTCATTCAATTAAATAATCATATGCCTCTATAGTCAGTTCAAATAACACGATAAATTTACAAATTATCATAAAATAATTATTACCAAATTGACTCCAATCTTATATCGAAAAGAAATAATGTTTGAATTCAGAATTATTAAAGTGTTTACTCGAGAACACCTGTAATAATAATAATATCTCAGGACAATTCACACAACACTATCTACTCCCAAGTTACCTAGAGCTTGTGCTATGGGTACTAAACAACAGATATGAATACATAGATATTTGTTTTGTAAATACATACATACTATACACAGAAAACACCGAGACGAATACAAACAATCATACTCATGAATACAAATTATTGTACCGTGCGAGGAATCGAACCCGCGACCGTCGGAAGTAAGGCGATGTGCTGTACTGAGGCCGTCAAGGCCTGTTTCCATAATCATGCTTATTAGACATCAATACCAACTCAATGTTAATATAAAAATGCTTTATGACCCACGAAAGCGATCTTCTACGAGTTTATTATGAGCGTACGGAAACTTTTCGTATAAAGTGTTACGGAACTACCGTTTTGTTCGGCGCCATAGACCGGAAAATTGGTTGAAAACTTGGCCGAGATGGAACGATCGGTACTTGAAATAATAGATATTGATTTGACAATTTCATTACACAAAATAGAATAGAATAGGACAGAAAATCATTTATTCAAATAAACTTACATTGAAGCATTTTAGTATATTTTAGATATCACTTATTTTTTTTTTCCTACCGCTGTTTCGGAAAGTTGACTCGGCACAAGAAGAACCTGCAAAACTTGCGTGATGCTCTTTAAATAATTTAGTTGCAACTTTACATTATTAAGTTGAAATGTGTGAATCCAACTACCAAGTGTAAGAAGCACTAATAAATGATGATGACTTAGGCTTTGAAACCGGCTATCGCAAGGGAAACTCCAAGTAGCGCCCGTGACTTGTGACACGGGTGTAGGTTTAAAAGACCTCTTTAGAATGCATTAACACTTACCTTCACTACTTGCAGTACCCCCTAGGCCTAACTAAGACCGGGATAAACCCATTTCTAATACAATTCACATTAGTATCCAAAACACAACCGGCACGCTCTGCGCTCGTCGACTGAATGCCGCGGCTCACGCAACGAAAGAGGATTATTCAACTACCGACCTCCGTATTTATAGACTGAAGTAACTGCAGTAGGTCGATCTATATATACTAGATGGCGCTATTCACAATATTTGTAATAATCTTTAGATTGGGTACTTCATTAGGACTAAACACAAACTACCTTCTTTTAATATCTTTTTAAAATATCGAATTTTATTCTAAATTATTGATGTGAACTCTAACACAAGTATTAGATATTCATAGCAGTTATATTCATGAGTATCTTCGTTTGTATTCAGACTACTACTACTAATGCTGTTTGCCGCAGGTGGCCTTTACAGCTTTACCGGACGTTAGGGGGCGAGTGTAGATGGCACTCCCAACCCGCGGAAGGACTGAAGGCCAACTCTCGCCTACCGGATGCGACTTGAGTCTGAGGGTACCGCTAGGGGTTTGAACCTCGGCTCAGGCCGTCGTAATTTAGATCCTGGATTGAATTGGAAGAAAGATCGATCGAAGGGGTAGATATTTCCTATGTATATTCTGCATGTAGATATGTATCTACAAAAAAAATGCATTATAGCTTAGCTCGGGGCTAGATGGCAGTGTGATATTGTCCAGAGTTATTATTATTATTATGAACAAATTCTATGATTTTATTCCTGAAACTGAACTATTCATTCGAGGAATCAATTAGCGCACCGCCGCCTTACTTCCGATGGTCGCGGGTTCAATTCCTCACGGTACAAACATTTGTATACATGAGTATGATTGTTTGTATCGGTTTGGGTGTTTTCTACGTATATTATACATGTATTTACAAATAAAAAAATATTTATTCTACCAGTTATCTAGTACCTATAACACAAGCTGTGCTTAAATTGGGACTACATGCTGTTGTGTGTATTGTCCAGTAATATTAATAATATTATTACCTTAGTCCTCTCGAATGGTAACTCATGACTATTAATGCGTTACCATTCGAGAGGACTAAAGTGATGAGGGTATACCTATGTATACCCTCATCATGCGTTGCCATTCTAGAGGTGCACATAATAACGTGATGTCCGGTTACCATTTATTAACACAAAAAAACTACTTGTAGGTATTTCGGATTGGTATACGACTAATAAAGCTTAAATATAATATTAACAAATTGAATTGAAGTTTCATGAACTGAATACCATTACGTTCAAAAGTAAATGTATTATACCACTAAACCATAACGGTATTCTTAATTTGAAATGCCAAGAACTAATATTGCATATCTGTGTAGAAGCCATATAGAGATTTTTGGGGAAAAAACGCGGTGTCCCAAATCACAAGGGAGTGTGGGCACTAGAGTGTAAAATTGGATTCCCTGTCTAAATCGATAGCCTAATTTGAAGAAGTTTTCCATATACGTGTATTTTTTCTGTTATCTACTATCTTACTAATATTGTAAACTAGAAAGTTTGTGACTATGGATGGTTAGATGAATGGATGTTTGTTATTCTTTTACGCAAAAACTACTGAATGGACATTAATGAAACTTTGCAATAATATAGCTTATACATCAGAATAACACATATACTATAAATGTCATACGGAATCGTAATAACACATACATATATTAATGAAATTTCAAGCGGATGAAACCGCGGGCTCAGCCTGTATTAAAAACGCGAAAGTTTGTGAGTACGAATGGTGAGATGGATGGATGTTTGTTACTCTTTCACTCAAAAACTACTAAGTGGATTTTAATGAATCTTTACAGAAATGTAGTTTATACATCATAATAACACATAGACTATAAATTTCACGCGAATAAAACCGCGGGCACAGATAGTTACATATATCTTTACAGAGTATAGACTATTTACTATTCCGCTGTATGTCTGCTTAGATCTTTTAAACGGATTTTAATGCAGTAGATAGAGTGAAGATTCAAGAGAAAAGTTTATATGTATAATACATGTGTTTTAGTATAGTATAGAGCAAGACAAAAATTCAAAGATTTGCAATGCATACGTGCGAAGTCGGGACGGGTCGTTAGTTGTCTATAAACCCGTTCAGGCGCCAATTTCTAACAAACCAATTGTTCATAACTGCAAAACACTTTTAGTTGCGGGACCACGACAACTTGCCAACTCCAATAATATAAAGTTGAGCCCAGAAATTGTAGTGCTTGAGTTACCACTACTATTTTCTCTTTTTAATTAAAGTGACAAATAATTGGAGACTAAACTCATAGAGATAGAAGATGACAGATGGGGTAAATTATGAGTTGTATATATTTTTAATGCCACATTACAAAAAAAAAAAACAAATTCAATAAAAAATAAATGTTAGGGGTGGACAAGCCTTATCGCTTAAAGGTATGAAACATAGTTGGTAGCAGATTCTCAGTCCTACTGAATATTCATATAAAATTTCATAAACATCGGTCAAGCCTTTTCGGAATAGTATGGTAACTAACACGAGAATTTTATACATAATATTTTACTATCTGACCCAACAAACCTTATTTTAACATATAAATTAAAGTACTAATATCGTTCTTAAAATATACATAGGTGTTGATGGTAGAAGGATGAAAATTTAAGAATTTCTATTTTTTTATGGCATTAAAATACATACAGTATTTTAATCTGTATGTATTTTAATGCGATAAAAAAATAGAAATTCTTAATTCTTAAATTTACATCCTTCTATAAAAAAAAGCCATAAAAAAATAGAAATATTTAGAAGTATTCCAAAAACAAAATATCTTTATTCATGTAGATATATCACAGACTTATATGATATGTTAAATCTACCATGAGTTCGGAATGATTTCGAGATGAGAAGAGCTGACAAGAAATGAGCTGAGGCTCATATTCTTTTCAAATAAATGTTGTACATGTTTACAATAATACAGATTCATTTTGAAGTTAAAATTTGTAAGTATAGTGACCATAAGCTTTGGGTGTTTTCTATGTATATTATATATGTATTTACAAATAAAAAAAATATTTATTCTGTCAGTTACTTAGTACCTATAACACAAGCTGTGCTTAAATTGGGGACTGTTGTGTCTATTGTCCAGTAATAGCTTTTGCAAAATCAAATAGTCTAATCAGGTCTCGTAACCCGATAAATAATAATAATAATTCTATTGATCACTCAAAAAATACGTACAATACAAACACTTGCTATAAATGTGCTTAACAAAAGGCAGCCATATAATTTGAAGCAAATAATGAGATGAAGCCATACCAATTATGGATTACACGAACATGATTTGTTTCAAAACTCATAAGAAAAATTAAACAATTTGGGATCAAAATCCTCATATAGAAAAAATATTAGCAAATTAGTTGTTACACGTGATTTCTGGTCTAATAACTATGACTGATTTCCTCTTATTAATTGTTTAACCAATTGGTTATATATTATATATTTTTTCTATTTGAGTATTTAATTGAATTAGTGCTAATTGGTGGTTTGGATTCACACACATAAACTTAAAAATGTAAAGTAATAATAAAATTATTTAAAAGAGCAAAACGCAAGTTTCTTGCTCGTTCTTCTTGTGATGAGACAGCTTTCCGAATGAGCGGTAGATTAAAAAAATGTAATGACTATTCAAAAGTGCTTCAATGTAAGTTTATTTGAATAAATGATTTTCTATTCTTTCTATTCTATTCTTCGTCTACTCTTTTGAGATAGAGGATAGCCTATGTTCTTCCTAGTGATACAATCTTTCGTCTAGTAAAATTTTAATAAGTATTAAGATTGGTTCAGTCGTTTAGTTGAGATATCCTATAAGACCCTATTAAGCCCTATAAAAAGGGGATCATACAGTCTACCCATTATATCTGCAATAGTGTGAGGGTATTTTTCATAATATCACATTTCTTAAATGAACTCAAATCGAGAACCGATAGTTTAAAATTGCAATCCCGTTCAGTTTGTCGCGTAAACAAATAATTAATCTGCTGGGTATAGTTTAATTGCTTGTTTGAGCTCGCGCCGCCTCTGGAGTTCCAATGGAGTTCTGGTCTGATGAGAGCAGAGCTTTACATTGTTGAGTTAGATCGCACTTTTAGTTGCTATATCTAGACGACAGACTATATTGCATTAATAGTACGTTTATAGGCGAAGTGTAGGTCAATAAATATTGGGATCCGTGGCATATTTATTGAACGTCTACACTGAAATATTAATGTCTTGAAGAAGCTGGTAGGCTGGTAGGCACTTCGACTTGATAAATATATTGAAGGAGCTGGTAGGGCAATTCGAAGCAAAATGGAAGGCACAGAGACTTGATAAAAATTAAATTTATTCACGGCACACGCAATAGTTGAATTTTAAAAAAGGGCATGCAGCGTCTTTTACATCTAGGTGCAAACTAGACTCGTGGATTTCTTTTTGGACTACTCTAATGCTGTTGGCCAGCAGCTGGACTTTGCACCTTCACAGGACGAGTACGAATGGCACTCCAAACCCGTGGAAGGACTTATGGAACAACTGAAGGCCAACTCCCACGTGGATACGACTTTAGTCTGAGTACACCGCTAGGAGTTCGAACCTCGACTCATGCCGTTGTAATTTGTTGAAATTATGATGGCCTGAGCCGAGGTGGAGAGCCCCTTTTGAATTGGACGAGGAAGGACTCGTGGGATCGGTTACGCCGACAAATTTTCACTACCCCGCACGGATGGACAAAACAATAGATAATAGTTTTTGTTTTTATTTCAATATTTTAGTAAAACCTTTTTTACTGAACTCGCAATACAATTGATAAATCTCAATTTGGATCAATATTTTTATTTCTATTGTGATAGATCATATTAACTTCAATACATAAATTTAGAATACATATATTGATTACTTTTTAATGATAATCAGTTATTTAATATATCATCTTCATAGAAATGATCAGTTGAGTTTCATGTACGATTTTCGAAGTAAAAATATTGGCCAAATTTGATGATAATAATAAAAAATATTATTATTTACTGAAGTAAGTTTATTGTATTATTTATTTAAGTCAGTAATTCAGTATTATAAAAGAAATTTTATATCCAGATGGCCAAGAAAATGACAATGTATTTGTTCGGTTGTTGTTGTAATTCTATAAAAACAATCATATGGGTAAAGTAAATTTATATGTATAAATTTATTCATAAGAGACGAACTTCTTAGTATACCATGGCAGACAGGGAAACTCCGAGCAGATCCCAGGACTTGTGACACGGGTGTAGGTCTGAAAACCTCTTGCTGAGTAAGCCATTCAACACAACACTCACCCTTACCACTCACTCACTTTCTTGCTCATTCTTCTTGTGATGAATCTGCATTCCGAATGAGTGGTAGAATCAAAATATGACTATTCAAAAGTGCTTCTAATGAGTTTATTTGAATAAAGATTATTTCTATTTCTATTTCACCGCTCGTGTTTACCTCCCTGTTCAGGCTAATCTGGTAGGAGTCTAGTTAAATGTTCTATAAGTATAGAACTTATTGCAATTCTAGACTGGCTCTTTTAGGAGATCTTTTAGAAGATTTTAGAGATATTTCGTAGATTTTAGAGGTATACCTCTTGCGTCCACTTCGACTGCATAGAACCATATATACAATTTCGTAAAAAAGTTTCGTTCTTTGTTATGATTGTGACAGTTAGCTAAATATATATTTATATTGTTATATATAATATATATTTTTTTATTATAAGGTTCAACATGTTCTTGTGGACCAGCTTGTGACACCTGGTCAGGAGTGCGATCAAAATTACAGCAATCAGCTGAATTGCGTAGGAAGAGAAGATACTGCCCCTGTACTAATAGAAGACCTAGATGCTTACAAATAAGGCGTCGAACAAGGAATAAAGAAGAAGTATATATTAATAATAATAATATTAGACAATTGACACAAAGCCCAAGTAGTCCCATGCTAAACAGAGTTTGAGCTAGCAGTTAGAGTGGTCTCACTGCCCCCTCTGTGTTGTAGATGGTTTTGTTTAGATTATCCTGTTAAGTTTATTATAAGAAGCAATTTTAACCGTTCATTTTTTAAGACATATAGATGATTTATATTATTGTTATTATCTTCTCTTCTTTGATTTGGTATAAAAGAAGGTAATACTCACCTATACGTGCCCCAGCCAAATATAAATGTGCCTTCCTTATATTTCAAGGTATTACTTAGGTATTTAGTATTATGGCTTTTCGTTACAAATATGTTTCAGTAGGATGAATAGCTTTTTAAAACTAGTTTTGAGTAATACCGGATTAATTATTATTATGATATTGATTTTAAATACTGTTTCAGAGATGTACTTGTAACCACAAATGCTGTTCTCGATGCTCATCACCAGAAATATATGTCGACAACCACGTCCAAACACAAGAAGGCGTTAAAAACATTTGCAGATTCACCGTCGATGCTTATTTTGTTTGAAATAATGAGTATATAATTAAATTATTGGATAAATTAAATATTGTAAAGCAAACTCAGTGTTTTAGACTTATTTTTTTTATGGATGATTATGGAATTGCGCTAACGGTTTATGCTGGTAGAACACTAGTGGAGAATTATAGGATAAATATGAGGTTAGGTCAGAATTCACCAAGAATTTATCACGAAAGATTCCAAATCAAAGGGGAATCGCGTGGAGGTCAAGGACTTGGTATTGCTAGCGATGGAGTAATTAGTTCAAATTACTAACAATTTGTTTCTCCCTCTGTATGTTCATTTACTTTTTTAAATTACGTAAAAAATCTCAGTATCAGTAATATATAAATTAGCCGTATATGGTAGTATTCAATTATGGTACTAGGTACTATAGTTGAATAATATACTTGAATACATCAATCCGATTTAGAATTTTTTATGTGTTTCATAGCCCACTTTGTTTATACTACGATGGTAGCAAACAATAAACTGTCCATCTGATGGTAAACGGTTACCGTAGCCTATGGACGCCTGAAACACAAGGGGTGCCACGTACGCATTGCCGACCCGTAAGAAACATTAATATATCTTTCTTGAAAATCCCCATGCTGTAGTCTCTCGAGACAACCTCGGCAGGAAGTTCATTCCACAAAGTAACTGTATGTGGAATTAGCATTTCAGGCTTTCGAGGAAAACTAGGTATATAATATCATGCTTAGAAATACAAGAGCGGAGCTGATTAAAAATTACTATATATAAACTCTTTAGTTTATATATACAAAAATATATACTCATGTATACAAATGTTTATATATTGCGAAAATTGAACCCGCGACTATCAGAATCAGATGTGCTAAACCGCTAGACCACCGAGGTTTAACTCAGCAGATTAATAAGGAAGCCATATATCCTAACACACCTGATGTAAGTTGTAATATCAGCGACCTTGTATAACAGGAAACTTTGTAACTTCTCCAAATAAATTATGGTTGGAGCGTCGAAACGTAATTAAAATTAATTAAATCTTTAATATTATTAAATATAATTAACGCCAGTGAGGCTGTACAGAACTTAATTGTTTCAGAAACCTATACCAACCTAATTGTATCTAAAATAAGGGCGGAAATTGGCTTCGTTCTTTTAATGAGACTTTGTTTAACAAATTTCGGTTTTTAGAAGAAAAAAAAAGAATGAAGAACGAATTATATCCAATACTTGTTAAGTTAATAATTGTACATTAATTATACATTGCATTTCATATTTGCATATATAATTACAAATATATTGTAAATATGTACAGCATTTATTTGAAAAGAATACGAGCTGAGTTTCTTGTCAGTTCTTCTCATTCCAAACTGACGGTAGATTTGATCTGAGTCTGTAATAGAGCTAAATGAATACAGATATTTTGGAGTCTAATATAACTTCACGGCTGATGCTGGGCCATACGTGGTAGTCAGTGGTGTCTACCCTCATTCTGAAAGTTCTACATTTTGTTGGGTATGTATGTGTATTTTTTTAAAATCATGATTAACTTTTTTCTAAGATATTTTTTTCAAATATAATCCACTACGACTCCGACGATGAAAAAAATGAATGGTAGGTTTTATCTCTGTAGATATTTTTGCTTATTAATTCAGATACCATTAAATCTTTGACGTGAAAGAAGTATTATAATTTCTCCCGACCTGAACATTTATTTTTGAAGAAACAGCGAGTATACAATAATGTTAGTATATATCTGCTATAGTTGAATTTATACCTACATCATCCAGATGTACGCCCTAGATACTCAATGTTTACCTAAATCGTGGAACTAGCGAACGTTCTATAATATTAATAAGTAGTTAGTCGTGTGGCTTGGGGAATGTTTTCTTGAGTAATTACAGAGCGAGGCAAACAGACCAACTAATCTAAGTTGGAACGCTCCAGCTTCACTAAGGGTTTGTATATATTGGTCTCGACCCCACTATTCGTGGGCGAGAGAAATGTACATGTACCTGCGGATTCTGTTCATATATATATAGATAATAATATATATACCATATATATTACCATCTATAAAGACGTCATTATGCAGTTCAAACTGTCACGCCATGGCGATTAAAATATATAATAAATTGCCAAGTGAAATTGTAAATTTATGTCGAAATAAATTCATATATATAGATGGCTAATCAGCAATTCTTATATATATAGTTGACATACTCATATTAATTAATAATGTACGTACTTAATATTGACTAACGAATAATAACCAAAATTGACATCTGTTTTGTCTGTTGCATGTCAGAAATGACAAAATGTGTGAAACTAGTTCTAAAGATCTTAAAAACCACACATGTACCACATTTTAAGCAATAAATATTATTTCATTTCATTTCATATATTTTAAATAGATGATAATGAAATGGTGCTCCGCCTGCGCTAACGGTATTAACTGCCGTGGCACTACTGGAAGATAATACGATGAGCATGAAGTCAGGTCAGTTAGCCCATCATGGTAAATTTACCAGGAATTTATCAGTACACTTTCCAGGGGGCTCTGAACAGCATGGAGGTTAACCTGACATGACAATGGGATTACCAGTTCACATTACTAACAATCCTTTTCCCTTGATCATATATATTTGGAAGCGGTATCTATTGATGATTTATCAAAGGATAACAATAAAATAAGCACAAAATTAATGATTTCACTCCAATGCGGACCTTTATCATAGCTTTCTTCAATTTATGTTTACTTTAATATTATTAAACAACTTATATTGTATCTTGGGTTTCACTCGTACTCAACGCATTTGGCTTTGCGAAGATATATTGGAATCTGTGAATTTTCTACCACTTATATCACAGAGAGTGTTCTGATGTATTCTTTGGATTAATATCAGCTGCTGAATTTCGACAACGTACTACTGGATGAATAGTGGTCCTGCTCGGTGCGTTTTCTAGAACCTTTTTTGGCCCGCATAACCATATTATAGAATCATCTTTCAGCAATGGCATTTCCGAACCGATACGATATTGAAATCTTTAAGAAAAGAGATTATTCCTCCTTAAAAGGCCGGCAACGTACTTGCAATCTTAATAAAAGACCTATTAAACATTAAATATTTATTATCATATGTATTGCTTCTAAAAAAAATTAAATTATAATACAATATATCTGATTATAGCCATAAGGCTGATGGCAGATGGAAAAAGGGATAAAAAATATATGTATTGCTTCTACCCCAACGCTGAATATCAATCTGCTCTGACCAAAAATGGAATAGAATAGAATAGAATAGAAAATCATTTATTCAAATAAACTTACATTGAAGCACTTTTGAATAGTCATAACATTTTTTTTTCTCTACCGCTCATTCGGAATGCTGTCTCATCACAAGAAGAACAAGCAAGAAACTTGTGTGTTGCTCTTTTAAATAATTTATTCTTACTTACAATTTAAGTTTAAGTGTGTGAATACAAACCACCGATGGTACTCTTATGTATCTGGAATGGTAAACAGTATTGTTAAGTTTATATATATTAGTGGTATTCGGTGGTAATAATTTCGTCACCTACTGTTCACCCCGCGTTAAAGTCGCTGGTTCAGGGCGTTTACAAATATACCTCTGCCGATGCCTATTATCTAATCACTTTTGTGTACACGAAATAATAAATAAAATATAAAATTGTCCCTATACTCACCCCAAATACACCAAAAATCCGCCAATTTGCACCAAGTTTTTAATATGACCGCCGTAACCGCTGTTCGTTCCCGCGATCGAATCTGTCACTAGTGTTGCGCGCCGCGTCCGCCAGAGGGCAGGATTTTTTCATATCCCCAACATTAAGACTTTATAGGGACGTATATATACATTTATAGTGCAGGTTTGTTGTGGTATGTTGAAGGTGTAGTGCCGCGAAAAATGACAATAATTGCAGAAAAATTACACAAGTATATATGAACATCACATTATCATGTGAAGCCTTGCGTTCTTATTCCGGAGAACTTAGATGTCATTTACTTACTATGTAATTTCAGGACCTTATCTCATCGTTTAATCGAAACACACATTTATGTACAATACCTTATATCTTCCGTCCTTCTATTTGGTACCTACCCGAGTTTCGACAAGTCTACACAGCTTCATCGGGATGTTATATAAATGAGAAAAGTATTGATGCGGAATAAATGCGGAAATAATTGCGTCTGATATTGTATTGTTTACCTTTACCTATTTATTTCGAATTATAGATCAATGAACATAGAATTGATATAATTTATACAACGTCTTGGTATATATATAAACATATACATACATTCTCGGTGGTCTAGTGGTTTAGCACACCACTTTACTATCCGATGGTCGCGGGTTCTATTCCTTGCACGGTACAAACATTTGTATTCATGAGTATGATTGTTGGTATCGGTCTGGGTGTTTTCTATATATGTAAAAAAATTATCCATGTATTTATATCAGTTGTCTAGTACCCATAACACAAGCTCTGCTTAGCTTGGGACTAGATGGCGCTGTGTCAATTGTCCTGAATTATTATTATTATTATTATTATTCGTGCGAAGCTGAGGCGGGCAGTTAGTATATGTGTAAAATATGTTACTTAAGTGTTCTATATGATTTCCGTATATGTAAATACTGTATTTTAGCGAAATAGACTTGTCTACTTCAGACGTCAAATTGCTTACTTTGTAATCGGTTTTGGACGAGATGGAACATGACAGTGAAATTACATGGTTTAGAAACGTGACAACATTGTTCTTCGGAACTGTATGAGGTGTACCATTAGTATCACATGATGATGTGCTATTCAAGTATATAGTTAGAAATGGAAATAGAAATAATCTTTCAAATTCAAATTCATATAAACTCAATACAAGCACTTTTGAATAGTCATATTTTTTATTCTACCTCTCATTCGGAATGCAGATTCATCACACACAAAACATTTGTATGTTGCTGTTTTGAACATATATGTTTTTGTTATATAAACTATTAAACAATAACAGGTAAGAGGCATTCGATAATCAACAT